TGGATTAATTTTTTTTGGATAAAAACACGTGCTAAATTCCACGTGTTCTTTTGTATTTTTCTTTTATTTGTGTAAATTGTTGTAAAAGTATTAGTGTGTACTTGATTAAAGTACACTAACACTACGAAAAAGAACAAAAGGACATATTTGTAAAACAAACATTTTACATATAATAAATAATGATACATTTGATCTTCCATCGACGTCGAAGGAAGATTATATGGAACATTTTGGTTATTTGGGTATCATTCATAATGAACTATTCAAAATTTCTGCATGAAAAATAATTGAATTTTTGAAAAATAATAAATTTTGATCAAAGTAAGCTTTACAATTTTTAAAAAAGATTGCATCTAGATTGAAAGTAGCGGTAAGCACTAGCTGTAAGTATTACAAAAAATATTTTATAATAAATCTTACCAAAATTTCCATAGAAAAAAACATATTAAAGCATTCTTGAAGCAATATTGCATTTCATTCCATATCTTGAAGCATTCTTTCATTAATGCTTGCTTTTGTTGAAAAAAAATATATAAACATTCTCTTGAAGTTCTGAGTCATAGCTTAAAACAGACAATTCTGTCTTAAATGTCTTTAGGTGATTTTCAGCATGAGAAAAGCTGAATGGAAGAGATGAAATTCATTCAAAATTTAAGACTGTAGATTTGACATTACCAGACTGAATTTCCTTTCATGTTTTTTAATAAAATGAATTTTCGGTTCACATATTTCCTAACTTTCTTAATCTCTGAAGCATAAAGTGCTAATATAATCTTAGAAATCACATCTGTGTCAGTTTTAAAGTTTGTCTGATATTGAATATGTAGGAGATGTTAATAAGCCACATGAGAATCACCGAATTACTGTCACATGATAAGAAAATCACATTTTCTTTCCACTTCCTGACATCATCAATTCGCAGGTAAACAAATGACATCAAATTATTTTTAATTCAACCTAATTTAAATCTCGAAATTATTCTAAAATTATCCAATCTGACACGCGACCGCAGAATTCATTCATTAATCAGTATTTTTATTGTTTCTATTATTTATTTATATCTCTTGGGTATTAAGTGACAAGAAGCAATAAAACAAGATTTTCTCTCTTAGAATTTTTTGGAATCATTTAATTTATTTGGTAATAAATTCATTTACCGTTGGTTTTTTGATTTCATTTCCTCATCAAAATTTTATAGCCCACTTTTAGTGGTTGTTTATTTAAAAGATCCTTTTCCTATTTATTCGATTGAAGATGATGAAGAAAATTAGAGCAATTTACTCAGCTTGAAAAGTGCGTTTGAGTACTTTGCATCCGCACTGCGGAGACTTTAATTACTTGTTTATACTCTCATGTACGTGAATGTAAATAAATATATGAAGTGATACACGTTGATGTTTATATTTCAAGCTTTAATCCTAAAGAAAAACTCTGTTTTAGCCTGGTTTTTGTAGATAAATGCAGCTTTATTTGAATGCATTGCTAAAATTGGATTTACTTGGAAATGAAACATTTGAAACTGTCACAAAAAGTTTCAACTTTATTTTTCAATTTGCAGATGCAGACAAATTACTTTTTCATGATACTCAGTCCTGCTCAAAAATTAAATTCACATTAGGGGCCGTTCACTTATTACGTTACGCCGAAAAACGACTTTTTTACCCCCTCCCCCCCTTGTTACAATATGTTAAAATTCACAACCCCCCCCCCCCTGAAAGTTCATAATTTACTTTATTTTGATAATTTTTCATAAATCAATAAAAAGGTGGAAAATTTAAAAAAATGTTTTTGGTGTGAAATTAGAACATTCCATACTTCTTGACACCCCCCTCACCCCCATGTTACATTTTGTTACAATCCAGGGGGGGGGTCAGACAGAAAAAAACAATAAAAATTCCTGGAAATCCATTGTTCGTTTTTGAAATATTACCGTTATTTTCGGACGTCAACTAAATAATTTTTTATTCAGAAATTTGAATTTTTGTAAAATTTTGAATTTAAAATTCTCGTTAATTTTTTATGTTGAAAAATTGAATTTTGACTTTATCTTAACAATGGAAATGCGCCTTGTATATCTCTAGGTGGTAAAGCTCAATCATCAATGTTGAACCACAAAGAAGAACCAGATACTGTTACACTGACGTATAAAAATATCGATGAAATCGTAGACTCATATTTATTTATTCACTGACTGTATAATTTTATAATGGCACATGTAGAGACAAATGATTTTTGGCAATATATCGATATTGCTATTATAGTTATTATAAATTAGTACAAATTTTTTGCATATTATTACCTACAGATCAGTTATTTTCCTTTTATTTTTAGACTCATAAATCTATGAATATCCTCTTTTATATTGTGGAAAATTTCACTATTTTTATTTTTCACATATTAACTTCGACTATTGACTTCGCTATAAATCATTTCATAAAAAAAATTTGCGTAAGCTATTTTATCACTTTTACTTTTTCACATATCACTTGCTCTATATTCACTAGCACGTCATATCAATCAGCAATCATAATAAAATCTAATAATAATTAATAATTCTTTCTTTGCTGCTAAACGTTGTAATCAAATAAATCTGAGTTGACAGCTAATTCAATATATTTTTTCGTATCGTATCTTCCCGTCCGTTCCTTCGATCAAGCAAAATATTGTATATATTGTTTACTATTCAACGGTGAAAATAAGTCTATAGTGGATGCGATGCGAGAAAAGCGAAAAAAATTTATACTTTCATATTTTCCATGTTTTGTTCGTTGTAGTGGTAATGATGGCTATATGTGTTCAATCTTTCCTTACTATCAATAATAATATTCAAAAAAAAAAAAAAATAACTGATCAGTGGCAGTCAATTTATCTTTATTTACACATGAGTTAAGGCTTGAGGAGATTTAAGTACGCCACTTAAAATATAAAAAAGATGAAAATCTTTTACTTCGCTTCACTGTATATGTCATTGACGTCATTCGATTCAATCTCTCTTCTTAGTTCGCCTTCTTTTTTCTCTTCTTTTTTTTTTGTTTCTTTTATTTCTATGATCAGAATATGATCGTAATTGATTTTTCTTTTTTCTATTTCTTGTATATAGTAACAATCATTGTCAAGGAGATTAACTCTGTGTGAAATTAGGGATATCTTGCTGTATTTTCCGATGCCTTCTTTTTTTCTCCAAAATGAGCAGCAAATTTCTCTATTTTGTGTTACTTGAGTTGTGCATCGTAAGTTTTGATGATTGTCACGAGTGCTACTTGTCTCTTGCCGCCTTACTTAAAGAAGATGTGAACGACACAAGTCATAATTTATAAAATCTTGCATTATACAATTTTTTTCTGCATTTGCTGTCGTAAATCTTCAGTTAGTTGAAATTTGCTGAAATGTACTTTCAATCTCTTATGATTTATAGTCCATTTTGGAGGTCAGTCAATCGTTTACAGCCTATTTAATTAAAATGAATCACCTTCTGTTTTGAATTATCCGATAATTTTGCATGAACAATTTTCACATTTTAAATGCGTTAATTTTTGAAATAAATTTTTTAAAATAGAAATTAGAAAAGTTTCTTAGTAATTTGGATGCTAGCTAGGAATGATGAATATACTGATACATTTTCTTCTTTTTCGGGGAATTAAAAGAAAATATTAAGTTGATCTTTCCTGACATTAATTTATCTTGATTCATTTTATTGTTATTTGTCGACTGACATTGGCGTAGATATACATATCTCATGAGCTGCGATGATAGAGGTTAAATAGTGATAAAGAAAGTTGGATAAAAAGACGCAAATGTGAGTGTAAAGATGCAAAAACAGGTTCAAAGATGCAAAGGACGAGTTTAAAGATGCAAAGGTAAGTTTAAAGATGCAAAGATGGGTTTAAAGATGCAAATACGGATTTAAAGATGCATAGGTGATTTTAAAGATGCAAAAACTAATTCAAAGATGTAAAGGTGAGTTTAAAGATGCAAAGGACGAGTTTAAAGATGCAAAGACAGGTTCAAAGATGCAAAGGACGAGTTCAAAGATGCAAAGGTAAGTTTAAAGATGCAAAGATGGGTTTAAAGATGCAAATACGGATTTAGAGATGCATAGGTGAGTTTAAAGATGCAAAAACTAATTCAAAGATGTAAAGGTGAGTTTAAAGATGCAAAAGTAAATTTAAAGATGCAAAGACTAGTTTAAAGATGCAAAAACTAGTTTAAAGATGCAAAAACAGGTTCAAAGATGCAAAGGACGAGTTTAAAGATGCAAAGGTAAGTTTAAAGATGCAAAGATGGGTTTAAAGATGCAAATACGGATTTAAAGATGCATAGGTGATTTTAAAGATGCAAAAACTAATTCAAAGATGTAAAGGTGAGTTTAAAAGATGCAAAGGACGAGTTTAAAGATGCAAAGACTAGTTTAAAGATGCAAAAACTAGTTTAAAGATGCAAAGACTAGTTTAAAGATGCAAAGACTAGTTTAAAGATGCAAAGACGAGTTCAAAGATGGAAAGGTCGAGTTTAAAGATGCAAAGACGGGTTTAAAGATGCAAAGGACGAGTTTAAAGATACAAAGACGAATTCAATGATGCAAAGGTAAGTTTAAAGATGCAAAGATGTGTTTAAAGATGCAAATACGGATTTAAAGATGCATAGGTGAGTTTAAAGACTTAAGGGTGAGTTTAAAGATGCAACTGTAAATACAAAGATGCGACCGTTGAAATATAAAACAAATAAACAAAAAAAAATCCAATATCATCGATATTTGTGAACCTCTATCCACTGAAAAGAAAACGATTGGTTAAATTCAATTTTAATTTTTTTTACTCCAATATTTTGAGGCTATTAACGCCAGTGAACATCAAATGTTTTCATTGTCGTGTGTGTTTTGTTTTGACAGACATGTTGAAAAATAGCAGATTTGTGAAAATCGAAGAGATAAACATCTCATGAATGAACGGAAGGAAAAACAATTTTTGTTTATTTTTTAGATAATTATAATTATAGTAAGAATTTTTATTTATCTATAGGTATTTTTACAGTAACTTTTACAGTAGTTGATGTTTTTTTTGTTTATAAAAAAAATCTTTTTTAAAAAATCAATAAAAAACTTTTTTTTGTCATTTATTAAGTTTGTCTTGAAAAACATATAAAATAATATTGCTATGTTATTTTAAAATGCGCTCTGCTTTAATCTCTGGGAAATTGAACAGAATCGATATACAAATGAAAAATAAAAATAATTTTAAAGAAATTCGATCTTGGTTTATATGTTTTGTTTTAATTGAAATTAAATTTCATTTCTCACACAATAAAACTAATGAGAACAACATAGAATAAAAATAAAAATAGCTAGAAATGTAAAAGTTTTTTTTTCAACTTCAATTTTTTATATTTTTTTTTAGACACTACAATTCTTTTATGCGTTTAAGCCTGAATATTCATGAGATAATTTTTATAATATCCAAAAAATCTAATTCCTTCGTCTAATATTGGTAATGGAAGATAATATAATAATTTTTTTATCTTTTCTTTCATGACTATTCCTTATATGATAATTCGATATGAGAATTTCCAATTTCAATGACTTGTTTACTGGCTGTATTAAAAAAATATTTTTTATAAAATCAAATTATTTACCACTTTTTTTTTAAAACTTAAGAACTGAACTGAAGAGCTTGAAAAGAAGGAATTTTTAAAAAATACGTGATGATACATTTCAGTCTTATTTAATTACTTCTTATTTTTTTTACATAATAATTAATGTAAAGTTGCCAAGATGTGGTCAAGCTGTCTATGTTTACAATTTCATACTGATAAGGAAATTCATTTTAATGACCCAAATCTATCAAGAAATACTTTTTTGCTTTAGCTTGAATAAACCAAACTTTAAGTTGCATATTTGAGATCCTCGGAACACATTTTCGGAATCGTCTGAGTTGAATTGAGAATTATATGAATATATTTATAGAGTTGTTCTATGTTTTTCATCCGAACAACATGTCTAAAATGGCAAGCAACACATGTTACACTAGTTATATACTTCTAAAAGTCTTTTTCATGTAAAATATCAAACGATTATGGTTAACTTTTACCACAACCCACACAATAATAATTCTTCTTAATTTTTGTACCATTGCAATTATGATTCCTATTCAAACTATCTGGCAAAGAATTGAAATTTCATCACAGCATCCGAAAAGCCAACTTTTGAGGTGAGAAAAGTTGTACTTGTTAAAAACACTGCCCATGGGAATTATTTGTGTTTACACCAATGACTTTTATAATAAAAAACTCTGAACCAACAGAAATTATTGTCATTTCTAAAAACGACAAAAGTCCCAAATTTATTTTTCGGTCGGATTAACACAATGAGTTGGGGATATCATCAAAAAAAAAAATGAATTTCCCAGACAAAGTTTATAGTATAAAAATGTAAACATACAAATACCTTGATTACAACCTTGTATAATAAATGTATATCCATTTAAGTTAGAATTTAATGAGTGAACAAAAAGAAAATCCAAACAAAAATGCGGTGCCAAATTTTTTTTTTATCGATTTAATTCCCAAATATTTTTTTTTCACTTTTTTTTTGGTTTTTTAATTGAACGAAATCACAGAAAAATATTTTTTTCATATCATATCATTTACCGACATCAAAAAATCATAAAAATTTTAATATTTTTTTTTCTCGTAATAAAATTGATTCATTCACTCATGAAATTCGTTATCATCATTATTATAATTATTTTAATTGTGGTGTGTAAGTAATTTCTTTATCATTCGCGATTAAAAATGCCTTTTTGTTGCAGACTAAAAACACGAGGAATTTAATAAGTATATGTATAGCATAAATCACAAACGAAGCCAGTTTTTTTTTTGTTAAAATATAAAATGCAGACCCGAGTGATACAGAATTTTAAAATGAGGTATCTTGTTAGCTCTATAGTTCCTTGGTCTAGGTTATTTTGGCATCAGGAGGAACTACTTTGTGCGATTTATTACTTCTAGACATCCCCATTCCCAACCCCTTTCTATTCACATAAAGCATCTGAGTTTGCGTTAATTTAATTATTGTAGCATCTTCTAGGAAAGTTAAAAAAGAACTTAATGTTGTAAAAAGGAAAATTATATCAGACGACCTCAATATAGTTTGATCCTGATAATAACCATAATTAAATCATCATCATAGAGCTAACATGAAACCATCTTTAAAACTTTTGTATCGTTCTTAAAAGAGTGATGTACCTTAAAATAAGAAGATATACGCTACATAATACTTTGATTAAGAAAAATTATCCTACTAAATGAAATGCTTATAATCACATTTTCTACTTTTTAATATTGTATTATTTTCCATCTCTTTAATTTGTATAATGATCAAATGAACCCAAGTATTCCAGAGCAGCTCGATAACAAAATTGATATTGATCCTGTTGATGGTTTGTGGGCGAGAGAGAGAGAGAGAGAGGGAAAAAAAAGATAAGATAAATATAAAATTAAAATGGAGAAATAAATGAATGAATAAATCATGATAAATGCTATCGATGTTAATTTAAAAGCATATCTATTTACCTCTGTTTGAACCATATGAATTCGCTGAGAACGTAAAATTCGAACAGTTTGAAAGACGTCAAGTACTCCTTCATATTGCATTCGTTCGAGAACAATACTTAATGTTATAAATACGCCGGTTCTTCCAACACCTGCATTAATTAGAACAATTAGTGCCAAAAACAATAGACTTTACTCCTGCTTTTTGAACATACCTGCTGAACAATGAATTGTAATTGGTGAATTTTCAAGACCAAATTGTTCTTTTGTCTTATGTACTTGTCCTATAAAATCTATAAAGCCTTCTCCAGATTTTGGTACGCCTGTAATGAACAAACAAACAAGATATGCCATTAATCAATGATTTTTCAATTAGTTTAAGAGGATTTGATAGGAAGAGCGATTAATCACCTTGCTCAGGCCAATCCAAAAATTGAAATTGACGAACAGTTCTACTCGAGCCATCACGGGCATCCGTAACTTTGAATTCTCTTAATTTATATTGTGGCATATTATATTCAGCCACAGGATCAACTACATAATACTGATAACGAACGGAACGTGTATCGGGCCAATATTGCGTACACTTCTCCTTTCCCATCTCCTTAAGTTTAGTAAGCATAACAATAATCGTTGAATTGTGTTCTGAGAATGAGTGATGAAAAAGTTAAAAGAGAAAAATGAAATATTTTATTATAAATATTTGCTGACTTTAAAACAAAGAATGTTTTTTTGTTAACAAAAGAATAATTACCCCAAAGCATTCGCCAAAAATCTTCCGATGTATTTGGAAGCGGTGCTTGCGTAGCTATATAGCATGTATTAAAAAAATAATAATGGGGGAGAAACAGAAAGAAGGAAAGAAAAGTAAAATATTTTTCATTTAAATTCCAGTGCATTAATTGCTTTGCTTACCAATATAAGCCATTCTATAGCGATATCCATCGATAAAGCTTGCATTAATATAATCAGAGCCTTCAATTCCTCGATCGACAGATAAACATACTCTCGTCGATTCAAATGGCAATATATGGACTAGTCGATTCTTATCCTTGTTGACAGGATTATTTGCCGTAACAAATTTCGATGAATCAATTTTAATATTGGATAATTTTTTAAATTCCATCTCCATGCATGTTATATTCTCAGATGGATCTACTTGCATCAATTTTTGTATGTGTGTATGCAATTCAGTTGCAGCAACTTCAGTATTGCCACAAATCGCCGCTTCAAGCAATGCATCATGAATAAAAATATATTGTTCCTCTGTTTGAACCTGGATGGATGCCGAGAAGATAAGAACATAATTTTAAATTTTTTTTTTAATATTTCATAAATTTTAATGTCCTATCCATACCATATAGTTTCTTTGTGCTCTTAAGCATGTAACATGACCATAAATATCAACCATTTTCTCTTTCTCTATTCTCTCAAGCATCGAATCGATTACAATATAACAACCTGTGCGTCCTACACCTGTTCGTTCAAACGAGAATATAAAAAAAATAATAATAATATTGAGATTTATTGCTAGACGTAATTTTTTGTGAAGCATGGAAAATTCTTATTAAAAGTTTTTAAACTCATACTACAAACTTTCAACGAGTTCACTCATTTCAAGATACTTCAATCATCTCTCATTACAAGAATGAATTTGAGTTGTAAGCAGCGACATTTTCTACCGCACGAAATAACAAGATTGCAAAAGACGCATGGGTAAAGTAAACTATTCTCAAACATTTTAATTGAAATATTTTTCTTACTCCTGCGTGATTCGTGGTCACGAAATTGTATGAAAAACAGTTCTGAGAATGAAAATAAAATCATTTGAAATGATTTTAAAAAATGGGAATTAATTCAAGGAACACGACTATTGCATATTTCGTAAATATTTCCTTATTTACTCTACCTCAATATGATTAAAATAATATTTACTCGAGTTTCCTTTTAAATTTGAATTTAATATTAATAAAAAAAAATATTCTCAATAATTGAGTGAGTTCTGTATAAAGTCATGGGTTAATAATTTATAGATTATTAAAAAATGATGACATTTATTAATGAATGTTTAATATACCTGCAGAACAATGTACAACAATAGGTCCTGCCTCACTAGGAGTGAGGGATTTTGTGCGTCGAAGAAATTGTAAAAATGGAGCGGGATTGTCAGGAACCTGTAAATTGATTTATGTATTATTTTCTAAAATACTGAGTCAAAAACACTTGCGACACTTACACCATGATCTGGCCAAGAGGTATATTGCACTTGTTTAATTTCTCTAGATTCATTAGAACCAGCACGCGTCAGTTGGAATGTACGAATACTATACGTAGCTAATTCCTGCGTTGCCGTAATTGTAACTGTCATTAAACCATATGTTTCTGTTCCGCGCGTTGGCCAATATTGGTCGCATTTCTTCCTCATTCTCTCCTCTAATCTTGTCATCATAACAATGGTTGATGACTCAACTTCCCTATTTTTTTATTATTATTATTTTTTTTTGTTTGAGGGGTAATGAAGGAAAACAGCACAATTATTATAACATTATTAAGAGTAATAAAAAATAACAATACCATATCATTCGCCAAAAATCAGCGCAAGTATTTTGTAAGGGCCCTTGAGTAGCTATGTAAGCATTATGTTTCCGATATCCATCACAATAATTAGCATTAATGTAATCACTTCCTGGCTGCCCTTCTAGTTGTTGAAGTATAACTCGACTATGATCATATGCACAAACATTGGCATATCTATTTTTAGGCTTATTGATTTCCATGTTTGAATTGTCCCATGAAAATTGTTGACCTGGCTCTATCGACTCGTACTCTTGTGAAAATTTTAAATTTCCATTAGTCTTTAACCTTTCAATGTGATTGGCAAGTTCAGATATTGGAATGGGAGGATGATGTATCATTCCTGGTGTCTGGAAATTTAAACGACGCATGTCAACAGGATCAGTCGGAGCCGGTCCACCTAAATCTGCTGCCATCAGAGGTCGTGTAACAGCTGTATCGGGATTTTTACACGGCTGATTGCGACGTTTTACAATGTATACAACAATCAGGAAGAAGCAGAGGAGAAAAGCCGCAATAATCGGAACTATAACCCATATGAGACCTTGATCAGCTGTACTGACATTAACATGAACATCTGAATCATGTACATGTGTATTTGGGTCTGGTCTTTGTGGTGGTTCTCCCATCGGAGCTTCTCGCATATCGAGTGCAAGAAATTCAGAAAACGGACTCGATGTATATAAATGCTTTTGAGGCGTATCCACAACTGCTCTTACAAATATACGATATCGTTTTCCTCTCTCCAATTTTTTATTAGTATAATTATGATATGTATCACCAGAGCCTAAATGAAATGTATACGGTATATTTCTTTGCAAGAACATTGCAGCAATATATGGTGCATTTGACATGTCATGTCTATTTGATCTCGTAGGATTTAATTCTTCTGTAAGAAATTGATCCGGCTGCTTATGTAAATTTGATTTATCCTCAGGTATTACGACTAGATAGTAGTGAGAAATGGGACCATATTCTTCTGATGCCTGCGGTAATATCACTTGAATCTCCTCATGATTTACAACACCATAAAAATCGGGCTTAACCATGGGCTGCGGTGCAGCCATTTGTGTCGTCACACTAATTTTTGTTGGCGGTCGATAAGAATAATCTGCAGGGACAGCAGACACATTCACATAATATGTGGTAAATGGAGACAGTTCATTAATTGTATGAGACGTTTTGTGTTGTGGTATTTGAACTTCTCGTCGTGGAATCGTTTGCTGCTGTGTAATGCCTTGTGCATCGACAAAAACTTTTATTGCATCAAAACTGATTTTATAATGAATTGGATTTAATCTAATGGGCGATGACCATGTGAGTGTCATCGAGTGTGTACTAACATCTTGAGCTCTTAAATTAAGTGGAACATCTTCAGGCTTTATTTTAACAGTTACTTTCTCACTCAGCCTTCCAAGACCAGTTTTAAAACGTGCCGCTATTGCGATAGCATACTGAGCAAATTTCTCTAAATTAACTAAATCTGCTGATTCAGTTAATCCAACAGTTTTTGTTTGCCATTCATCTAAATCCTCAACAGCTGTCATAGTATAAAAAATCTTATATCCTATTAACTTTCCTCTCGACGGTACAGGCTCCCACCAAACTTCAACGGTTTGTTCTGACGTTGCTATTGCTTGCACCATCATTGGTGCTCTTCCCATATCACGTTCTGTTTCAATAATTATCTTTTCACTGAATGGACCAGCACCTTGTTTTGTGTATGCTCTAATGCGCACAACATATTCTGCACTTTCATCAAGATTTGCAAATACAGCTTTACGTATTGTTGTATTTCTCTCCGTACCTAGACCGTGATCGATTTTCTTATGAAATTGGATGTCGTATCGTAATATTTGACCATTACGATGTTCTCTCAACGGTGGGTCCCAAGAAATACAGAGTACATCTGGCGTTTGAAATCTATGTGTAATATTAGTTGGTGTACCTGTTGGGAGCCCCTCAGGTGTTGTATAATATTTTACAGCTTCCTGACCAATGCCAATATGATTTGTTCCGGCAATTCGGAATTCTATGTTAAGAAATATAATAAAAATAGAAATTTATGAGAGTCAAAAATATAATTTACTGTACAGTATAAAAAACTCACCGTATTCAATTCCACGCTCTAAATCTTTAATGCTTTTTGTAAGTGTATCAGGACCTAACATACTTTCATGCAATTTATGATGATCTTTAACACCCCACCGCACGCGAAAACCACGCAATTCACCATAAGTTTGTGCTGGTCTATCCCATTCAAGTTCAATTGACACTGTTGGATCGCGCTCCAAGACTTTTAATTTGACAACGGGTCGAATTGGAACTCCGCCGGGTGTCGTGACAATGACAGCTTGCGTTCTATCACCATCACCCTTTCTTGTCAAAGCAGCAACTTGTACAGAATATTTTGTATCGGGTTGTAAGCTTGTAATATTGTATTCCATAACACCATCAAGAATTTCAAATTTCATCGGTTCATTGAAATAGCTTTTGCCTTCTTCCTTCGTTTCATGTACATGTATATGATAACCTCGAATGATACCATTCCTATGTAAAGGGTAGGAGCGACACAAAAAGAAAGAAGTAAGGGCAAAGAGAAATGATTTTAGTTTATATATGACGATGTTATATTATATTGTAAATTAAACTCATTTAAACATAAATAAGAATTCGTGTTATGTACCTATCCTTCTCTGCCGGAGGTCTCCATGAAACATGAATTGTTGTAGAATTGATAGCTCTTACTACCACAGAAGTCGGCTCACCAGGCACTGTAATTGTAGTTATAAATCAATTTCAAAACCAAATAATAGTAGTAGTTTGTAATAATAATAAAAATGATAATGAAAAGAAAAATTATGTATAATAATGATGAATTGTTAACCATTTTGTAATGAAATTCCTTTTATTTTATTACAGAATGATTTCATTTCTTCATAAGTTTTTAAAAATGGCTAATTAAAGCATAAAAAATTTATAAAAAATATACAAAATTAATGAAGATGATTTACATTATAGCTGATTATATTCAATAGCCATTGAATCAATATCAAACCCTCGAAATTATTTTTATTATCATATTTTTAAAAAGCCCTCTCAATATTATTAAATTCGCAAAAATTTGAAACGTATTATGAAGTTCGTCCTGAGATGACATTTGAATACCAAATAATTCATTATTTTTTGAGTTCGAATTTTCTCTCGTTCTCTCTTTCTCTCTCTCTTTCATTTTCCATAAATTAATTAATCATTGATCGTAATAAAATTCAATTGATTTTTTAAAGTGTCTCTCTCTTATTCATGAAACATGTAATTAAAAAATGATAATTAAATAATTTCTACTTAATCATGCAAGAAAAAAATTAATTTATCATGCTTTTTACGTCTATAATATAATTAATTTAAATATGTGAAATTAAATTAAAACATGAGAAATATATTCATTGTGAAATATTATTATATTTATATCATTTTATACATTTATAGAATAGATGTAAGCATAAGAATGAGAGATAAAACAATAAGAGCATCTATCCATTATAGTCAAATTCTTTTTGGAAAAAAATATGCATATGTACAAAAAAATTATCCATTTATTCTCATATTTTTTCATGTAAATTAAAAATAATGTGAAAGTCTCCATCTTTTCTCTGGATGACTTTGGCGCATTTTTTCCCGATTCAAGACTTATTTTTTTTCCTAGCTTGGTTTTGAATTTTAGTAAAGAGCTCTTAAGAATTTTCAACAAAATTTTAAGAATTCAGACAAAAAGATTGAATTGCAAATTTCTCATGTTAATCTGTATGTGCTTATAATTGCTTAATGGTATTAAAATAATTATGCCATTAAAATGCTAATTAAAGCACTAAATACATCGTAATATTTCTAAATTTCATCTTAAAGATTGAGCCAAGGATTTCCTCAGAAAGTCTTCGTCTGTGTCAATAGTAAAAATTTATTTTCTTCGATTTCTTTCTTTGATCTCGCACGGACAGTCTTTCTTAGGAAATCAATTTAGGCTCACCAATTTCCTTGGTATGTCCTTATCTTAATTTATTAAAATCTTCTACAATTGTAGGCAACTTAATTAAGTTATGTGTAATTTAATGTTTCTTTGAAAATGTTTTAAAGTCAGCTCAAAAAAGTTTGATATCCTTAATGTTGACTTTAATTTTAAAAATTAATAGAAATTTGAGTAAAACCTAGTAAATTAAGTTTCCCTTGATTGTGTGTCAATAAAACAATAAAAGTCAATAAGACAATAAAATCCAAAACCATTCAAAACTCTGTATAATTCCATAATAAATTCAAAAGGGACAAAAAAGCAAAGAGCAGATAGACATTATGCGAACAACAGCATCTAAATCCTTCGGGAAAATGCACGCAAAATTAAATTTTCTTTCAGTAAAAAATGAAATGTACAAAACTTTCTAACATTTTATGTACTCACTCTTGACTAATTTTTTTTATTTTGAAAAAAATATCCATTGAAGAGGAGCAAATGAAATCAAATATATTTTTTATAGTGTTTTGATCGTGGGATAGACAAAGCGTTGCACAACATTATAATTGAATTTTCAACAACGAAATATGCATTCAAGATATTTTTTTATTTTTTTATCGCATTCCCCAAGAAAGGTGTGTTAAATATAGTGATGAAAAATCGAGATTTGTTTTCAAGCATCCAAAAAAGATTAAGAAAGTGCAAAAAAGTACAAAATGTTAAAAATACACTTGTTAGAATCATATCAAAAAACATTTAAATAAGTAATTAATGTTTTTAAAAAATTGATTTAAATAAATTTTAACATTTTTATAATATTATTAATCATACAATTAGTAATTGACATTCTTAGAAGTATCAGTTCTTGTTAAATCATAAATTCAAATATTTTTAACAACAGCAGCAGAAACATTCCTTGCAATCTCTTAAAAAAAATTCAAATTATAATTCAACTCAAAATTTAATTTAAAATAAAAATAAAAAAAAACTTTTTCAAAAAACAATTTTAGTGCATTTTTGCAGAAAAGTCGGTCAACATGTTTGTTAACAAGCAAATTCAAATTTTTTATAAATGAGAGAACACAGATAGATTATTTGAGGTATTCTCATAATGCATTTTAACCACTTTTGTCTGGACTAATGATTCTATTGAGAAATCTCTTTGAAAAAATCTCTCTCCAAAAATGAACATAGTTGATGCATGGGAATAAATTGGGATTTTTTGGGTCTTTCATTATAAAATTGCATGAAAGCTTTGGTTAAATGATGCACATCAATTTATATCTGTTTTTTTTTATTACTTTAAAAATTAAAGCTTTACAGCACGATTTATTTCACAAGCTTGAAATTCTTCGGAAACAAGTAATTAAGAGCAAGGAATTCACTCAACAATTTTCAAGAAAATCTAGGAATTCTCAACAATCACTCAAAATTCAGCATCAAAAATGTAAAATAACACTTTAGGAGTAAGAGGATGTCATCCTAGATACAAACTTTAACCACAATAAAACATTTCGGTGCACAATTTCGTGCAAAACATTTTTTTAATGAATTTGAGTGAAATTTTCAAATAAAATATAGTGATTGAAATGAGAATCGCATCTGTAAATATTGTATGTCCGATATCAAATATTGGAGAATAAAAAATAATAAATTTTAAATATTTCATAAATGTTTCTCTCTTGGAACATAAAAACCCACACAAATGTGAAATTAAAATTTAATTTATGAGCAAAAAGGGAAAAATCAAAGGCAATTCTATGTGTGACCCATATTCTCTGAATGACTGAATAACTATACCTTGTTAGTCAGTCAAATGAAATTAATATGAATAAATGTATTGCTTTACAAAAATGCACTATAAATTTATTTAATTGAAATAAAATAAAGCCCGATAAGTGCTTCAAGAGTTGAATAACAGTTTTTAATATTTATAGAAAACATACTCGGAACATAAAATGATAAGTTAAAGTGGTCAATCAATTATTTTCGGGACTTTAATATTAAAGAGCACTAGTTGTTGTTATCTAAGAGGTTGTTCACCAATTTAAGGCAGAAAATTGAAAATTTGAATGTTAAAAGGTTTCAAAATTTTCAATTTACCGCCACTTACGATGCTTTAAGATTACAAACGGCAAATTTCACTCGCAAATGCTTCAAACATTTAATTCTCAATGATTACGATTTCTTGGTATTCAAATGTTTAATTTTTCCTCAACTTTTTATCTTCTTTCTGTATAAGGCAAATAAGTATTTGGCAATTGAATTAGAATTGTTTACACCATCGCATTTTCATATTTGTCAAGTTTAAATTTATTCATGTTTTTTTACTCTTCTTAATTCTTCCTAAAACCAATTTCCTGTTTCTTTTGTTCGGTTTTAAAATTAAATTATGTATACTGTTCGTGTTACTGAGAAATAGTGTTAATATAGAGAGTGACTGTGTAAGTGTTAATAACAAAACATTCTCAAATTTTTAATCCACATTCATCCATATTCAAACTCAGTCATTCATAAAAAATTTCCTCATTCAACATTTTCCATCACAAGTTTTAAATTAATTTTTGGATTATTTCGATTTTTCGTTCACATGTTTTTTTTAAAAAAGCTTTTTTTAATATTATGATTGACACAAATACACAAAATTCTTAATACATGTCATTGCATTCGTTCATCATTTCACTAAATAAAACAGAAATAATAATAAATATAAATCATTGTGAGTTTGTGCGTGTTAAAACATCATAGAAAATAAATTTTTTTGTGCAATAATCGTTACTAATCTAATAAGAGTGCTTATATATATTATTCTTTTTTTTTTCATGTGGAATGTGCGACATTTGGTGTAAATCAAACTTTTTATATGAATAATATAAATAAAGAAATAATAAAAATTTTTGTGCAAATTTCAGATTTTACTAATTTCAATAATAGCAGGGTTGGAATATTTAAATTATTGATCCTGCATTCTAGAAACTAGTTTCTTCTAAAACCAGAATTCTGAAGTAAATTTCTTCAACTTTTTAATCATTTCCTGCAATGAGAAATCCTCCACATTGACTGTCATTAATAAATTCAGCTTCTTTTTTATCAGTCAGAAGAGCTGACATTGCAAGAGGATTATAAAAAAAGAGCTCCATATGCAATTTCAAATCGCACGAGAGCTCACAATTTACGATGAAGTTTATAACCATTTTCCAATCCTGGTTTTAATCGCTTTACAAACTTTCGACATAAATCTTATGTCAGTCACAAATGAAAATCATTTGACAAATCTAAACGAGTTCCAGCTGCGGGAAACTTAATTTTTCAACCCTGCTAATAAATAACGAAAAAAAGTGAAATAAAAGGAAAGAAATGAACTAAAGAAAATGTGCAGTAAGTTTTCTTTTCAATATGCACACAAATTTTTTATGTTATCCCTTTTTTTTCGTTCGCTAGCAACATCAATAGAGTGAAAAAGAAGAAAATTACTTTTTCAAAGAAAAATGGATATAACTCAATGAGTTTTCCTCCTTGCAATAAATTCAACTTATTAAGTTAAGTTACGAAGAATTTGTCTTTCTCTCAGCTTTTACTTCTTTTATGTCATTACAGGGAAAATCTTCAAAGGAATCGTCCTTTTTTTTGGAAGCCCAAAATGAAAACTCATTGAATGATTTATTTCCTGATGTAAACGAAATTGATACACAAAAAAAAAAACTTGTGTGCATAACGAATTTAAACAGTGTAAAAGGTATAAAAGGAAGGAACAGGCATATACAAGGTAATTCTTCTTCAGAAAATGCTTTCAAAAATCAAAAATTCATGCATTTTTTGTTCTTTTTTTGTAATCAAAAAATATCTAAAACAAATGGCTCAAAAACAAATTGCCAAACAACAAATTTCGGAGCAAATTTCAAAAAAATTGTCACATCTTAATTTTTTTTTTGGTGTGCGAAAAAATCTAAACAAAATGTGTGCATTTTTCCAAAAAATATATATATAGGTTTCAACATTGAAACTATGCGAGTGCTGCCATATAAAAAATAGTACATGAAGAAAAATTTTGGTTAAAAAATTCAAAAAAACCTTCAAAAAATTTTTTTTATCAAAAACAAAAACAAGTTTGAATGCATCCTGCTGCAATAAAAAAAAGTCAAGATTTAAAAAGAAAAAAAAAAATGTTAGAAGACATCAAAAAGTCCATTGTCTTCCGTAAAAAACATTGTAAAAAAAGTTGCTCTTGTAAAAAGTTTATAAAAAAAGGGGAAAAAGTTTTTTTTTTCTTTCAAAAAAATCCTGTTGATTGATTGTTAGAGGAATAGAAGGGAATAAGATTTAAGGCAAAATTATTAGTTAAGAGAATTTCTCTTGATTTTCAATTTTTTTTTTGTTTTTTTTTATATTTTGTTAGGATATTCAATAAATCTCATCAAATCATACATACCATCCTCGTGAGTTCTGCATTTAATCGGTATCGATCGTGGTCCATCACCAACGGAAGTGCCAGCTAATATCCAAATCTTATATTCTGTCCATTTCTTCATTTCATCCAATTCAAATTCTGTTACGTTCCATAACTTTATAGAATCAGCGTCAGTGTCTAATCTTCCTTCCTCGACAAAAAATAACTTGTAATACATTATACGACCATTAGCTCGATCTTGAGGCGGAGGTTGCCATGATACTTTGATCTTTGATGAGCTTGTGGCAGTTGCGGTAATGTTTTGTGGTGGCGCTCCTGGCACTAGTGTGTGTAATTCATTACATTTTTATTGCAATTAAATCAGAATCGATAGATAGATTTTTTTTTTTTTGAAAAGAAAAAAGAACACAAAATGAGGAAAAATGATAATGAAAATGAAATTATACTTAAATCATAATAAAAAAATAAACTATATGTTAGATATAATAGGGCTCTTGATAAAGTTTTAAGGGGTAATATCAATTCCGCAAATTGAAATTTATATATTTTTAAAAACTTTTTAGCAGGATTACTTGTTGGTATTCATAATCGAGTTTATGATATAATAATGAACATTAAAGTTCTTTTTTTATTATTTTCATAAAAAATAGTTTTGATCCCAGAAATTTTTCGGTTATTATGTTAGTCCATTGTACATGCATAAAAATAATGAAATCTAATTAAGTTTTGAATATATTACCAAAAAAAAATAAAAGAATAGAATTACATGGAAATGTTTTGGTATTTTTTTTTCAACATTATCATATATATTTTTTAAACATTGTAGGTTTAAATATATAAATGTTTGAACAAAAACAATCGATATGAAAATATTTACGGATGTCCTTTAAAAATATAAGAACAATTTTCTAAATTGTTTGGGAAATTCTCCCACATGAGGATGCATAAAATATTAAGCAGAAGATATTGTGGTCACATTTATTGGGAAATCTTCTATTAAATCCTTTTATTTAAAGTTCAATTTCAATTTTATGCATGAATAATTTAACGGAAATTTTCAAATTTAAATTAAGTTGATGAATTTTTCATATTTTCACACTCTTTGAGATTTGCATTGGATTTTTTTGGGGGGTCGTCATTTATACACAACTCCTGGAGAGACTCATTAATTTTTATCGATTGAGAGTTAAATAACATCAATTAACTTTAAATTAATGCGAACAAGTGCTCCGTCATTAACTGTAGCAAAAGAACCAACAATTTTCAATTAATTCTGAGTAATTTTCATTTTCCCAACAAAACTTTAAACTCTCATGACTTGCTGGAAGTAAATCAAAAAGTTTGATTATGCAAACGATCAAAATGTCTTTTAGCTCTAAAATAGCATTAAAAATTCATTTCTCAAAAACTAAAATTCTGAAGTCACTAATTCCCTCAAAAGCAGAGCAAGTCAGAAGCTCATGAATAAACCAACTGTTGATGTTTTACGAATATATCTCAATTCAAACAAAAAAATCTTGAAAATCCATATATTTCTCAAAATGTTCAACCATAAATGACACGTGGAACGATTTTTCATGAGAGTTGAAGTTCTGTCGAAAGGAAAAGAAAAGAATGAAAAATATTTTTTCGCTGGAAGAACCCTATCATAACTTTAAAGTAAGAACATAAATATATCATAAAATAAAAAAAATATATAGTCTAACATAAAAGAATATAATAAATAATGTATAAGCATAATGTCAGTTGTTTTGATTCAGCAGTAAAGAATCAATAATATATGAAATTATACGTCATTTTTTTTTTTACTTTAGAGCAACTCTTTCAAAAAAAAGTTCTACTTGGAAAAAGAAAGTATAAAAGAAGAAAGATATTACAGTGATGATACATTTAGTGATTACTTAAAATGCAATTCATCTTTACTACTGGATGCAACGACAACGACATTAACTTTAAAAATATTATACACTAATAATAGTAAAGAGAATTAAAATCTTTTTTTTTCAAATTGAAATATAAAAAAACAGAAATAAAAAAAAACAAATTTTGATCACTAAAATTTTTCTCATAAATTAATTTTTGATAAAAAAAAGAATAAACAATTGTGAAACATATTTTCTGGTGCGAAAATGTGCAATGCTGTTTTTTTTTATAATAGAAATATGAAAATAAGTGCAAACATTCAATATTTTGTGAAAAAAAAGTTCCAAAAAAGTTTCATGCATTTCAACCATGTGACAAAAAGTCGATTTAAAATTGATTAAAAACACTCATTCAATCAATACACTCCTGAAGAAGTTCAGAAAAACTTACAAAATCCAATTAAATTAAATTAATATTTAATTTTTTATGTTTGATATATTTTTTTTTGTTCACAAACTTCAAATAAAAAATAAAAATCAAATATTGAAATTGAAATGAGGACGTGTTCATTCTGGTATAAAGCACTGTCAATTATTCACTTTGTAGTGCTTAAAAAAACCTCTGCGATTTAAATACACATGAGAAGAAAAAAAAATTCATTTAAATTCACAATTACTAAGGGTCAGTTTTTTTCCGAGAACATATTTGTGTAGGCCAAAAAAAGTCTTTTTCCCCCTTTTTTTCTTGTTTAATTTTTTCGCATTAATAATATTTACCATAAGCAAAAAAAATTGTTTGATTTACGTTACTGCTTTTTTGTCTCAGATTGCTTTTTCGCTTCTAACAATTTTGTTTTTTGCGCCTTCTCCTCCTTAGCTATGCTAAAAATCTAATCGCCATACGAATCTGGACTCATTTTATATGGGTCATAGAATTACCTATCTGAAATACTAAACCATGGGTTTATAAATTTTTATTCGTATTCTGTTTTTTCTACGCTAATAGCCTCAGGTGCACGAAAGTTGATGACTTGATGCCATCAGTCATGCTATTTTAAGTTTGTGCTGAGTTGAATGTTTTACCACGATAATGAGAAATGGTTTTAAATTTATTGAATAAAGTTGAAAGTTTCCCGATAAAAAAAATTAATTCTCAGTTACAGTGACGGTTGGAACATAGCATTAGTTGGAGATTATTGAACAACTCATTGTTACGAAGGAGAAGAAGGTTTCCTGTTTGTTTTGTATTAAATGAAATAATGGAAGTATCGGTTACAATTTGTGTCATAACTTACAATAATGAATAAAATATGAATGTATTTGTAACATTTAAAGCCACAAATGTTAGCTTTACGGGTTTTCTCTTTCACCCCTCAAGTTACGAACAAGAGGAGAAACAAGACGAATGAATGTATTCTGTTAAGGATTTAAAATTCGGTGGCATTAGCGTGAAAATGTCAAATATATGTGAGTGATTGACGTGCTTCAATTTCTTACAAACACAACCTCAAATCATTTGAATAAACAACTTGCTTTAAAAACAGACAGAAATAAAAATGATGATGACTTTTTCTCTCTTTCTCATTCTCGTATTTCGTACTTAAACTTAAATTATTATCTCATCCTTTCTTATTAAATAAAAAAAGGAAATGAAAATGATATAAACTTCTCTATTTACACATAAATGTAATCAAGATTCTCTCTCTTTTTTTCATATCAGATATTGATTTGATATTGTTGGCCTTAATCTTATTCATTTTATATGATAAAATGAACACATAGTCGAAGTTCTTTTGTGTCGATTTTCCTTTGCTTATTTTTTACCTCATTGCTTCCCTTAAGCTTCTCTATCTGAATGACGAATTCAAATAATCTTTCGCTCAAATAAATCCATTTGAAGTCGTCATTAGACATGTAAGGAAATGTTTACACACTGTATCTTACCATATTGTTTAGTTCTAACAGGTATGGGAGGAGTAGTTGCACCTAAATAGAGCACAAAGGAAGAGAAAGGAAGGAAAAGAAGAAGAAAAAAATAATAATAAAACTTTCTGTTGACTTTAATTGACTGTAAAACTATCCCACCTTCTCCACGTTGTGATCTAGCAGCTAACCAAATATAATACAATGTATCTGGATACAATCCACTTAATGTATAAGTTTCAACATTTGGAATTCGTCTGTAAATGAAAAATTTAATGTTTTTTTGTTTTGTTTTAGTACAAATTGTAACCATTATTTATAAATTATATTTTTTATCGTACTGATGATGTTGTTCATTTGCATATGTATCATTATAGTATAGTTCAAAATGAACAATTGTGTCACCACTATGTGATGGTCTATTCCATTGCAATGTGACTGCTGTCTCTCCTATATCAATTGCACGAAAATTGCTTGGTTGTGATGGCACACCTAAATGTAAACCAGAAGGATATGGAAGAGGCAAAAAATGACAGGATGAATACATGGATAGATGGATACATGATAAATAAATAAACAAGTGAATGAGATAAACGTGTAATTGAAAAATCGAGTACACATTTTTGATTTTGGAAAATTGTGCAAATATTTAATTATATTTTATTCACATTCTATGCTATTTAGGAACCAGTAAAACCTTGTTTAATTTGATAATCTGATCAATTCGAATAAGTCAACCGGAAAAGCTTAAAATTTTCTCAATTTCTCTTATTTAATTTCAATTTTCAAAGCTCTAAACTCAAACTCATAAAGAGCAGTAATTGATTCTCCTCCTACCTTGTTGTGTTTTAACTTGTACAGGATTCGACATGGGACCTGCGCCCATAGAAGTAAATGCTTGTACTCTTATTGTATAAATAGCGAGTGGCGTTAAGTCAGAAATAGTTGTTAATTCACTATTATCGACCATTTGTGAGTTCCATGATGCCTCAGGCTGAGTAGGATTTGTGGTATAATAGACTTTATATCCCTATTAAATGCACATTGTAGGAACAAAATAGAGATGGAATGGAAGAAAAAAATTAATTGAATTAGAAACATTATGCAAAATAAAAATAGCAATTAGGAAGTTTCATTAATTAACAAAATAATCTTAAGATACAAAACTTTATATTGACACATCAATTTTAATTTTCTGCTTCTTACAGATAACATTTGAATATAAATAAAGTTTTAGTTTGTCAACATTAAGAACAGTTTTGAATCTTTAAATTATTTCTTTTTTAAAGTTGTTGTTACTCACGTTGATTAACCCATTAGGTTGATCTGGACTTTGCCAAGTTATAACCTATAAAATAAAAGAAGAAGTTATTAAGTAAGATGAATCCCACAAAAGTGACCAATAAAATAAAATTAAATCCACAATAATCTTACTGTGCAATAATGTAAATAAGTAAATTGTGAAATTATATCCCTTACCATTGTTGATGAGCTTAATGGTCTAACTTCAATGTTTCTGGGGGCACTTTCCATTTCTGTAATGAATAGATGTAGAATATAAATCGATATAATATTGTTTCAATTTCCATATTTATTTTCTTTCAATTTTTAAATTAATTTTATTGGGCAATTAATTTTCAGAAATTTCAAGCATGTTTACTTACTAGAGCCTATTAAATATCCATTGTGAAAAATGATTGCAATATTTATTATAATGATTATTATGGATTGATAGATAGATAGATAGAGAATAAGGCATAAAGACATTAAAATTTATTTTGTTATTTTTCTTCTCAATTTCAAACATTAATTATTGCGTACCTGTTTCGCCTGTTGTTGCTGAAACAGCGGCTGATGGTGGGCCCCTGAAATTTGTTTTTAATTTAAAAATTAAATAATAACGTGAACATTTTTCCATCCCATCCCACTCCAAATTATTTTTTTTTTCTTTCTTATTTTTTCACAATTTCAATTAACTTTTATTTACCTTCCAATATTATTCACACCGATAACATGGAACTCATATTCGGTATAAGGACTGAGACCTCGTACAACATAAAACATTGTTATTATGCCACTAGTTTCGCTATAAGCCTTTCGGTGAGGAAGCAAGAAAATATATTTATTTTTATTTGAGAATTTACCCATTCATTATAAGTATTCGTAAGTAGCTACATTCGTTTGCTTTATATGAATAAGCTCTCATATTTACTTACTTGATTAGCATTCTTTGGTTTATGTTGAAGTACATAGTACTGCAAATCTTCTGTTCCTTTATAACTCCATTCCAATCTGACTGTTGTTGCAGTTACTTCTGATATCCTTAAATCCGTCGGTGCAATAGGAAGTGCTGTATGAGAAAATTATAGAAAATTGTATCCATAAAATATCCGTTTGACTACATATGTAATGTAATACAATATGGTTATGCTAAATAATAGGTACGCAACGAACCAAAAATTATGATAAATACGATGAAAGCAATTTTGTGGTATAATATATGGATGTTCATTTTGTTTGGATGAGTGAATGGACTGAACTTCATATAGCTTTATACAGTAAAAATTTTTTTCATAATATAAATTTTTCAGGCCAAAAAACTTACATTGAACTTTCACAACAGCATTTGCCTCAATCACCCCTAAACTTGATGATGCAACACAAGTATAATTGGCACTAGTTCGAATGTCATTCAATGCTAGAATGCTCTTTCCAACAGGTAAGTCATTTTCGGGAGTTAAATCCTCATCTTGTAATCGCCATTTTACAAATGGCATTGGAGATCCGACAGCAACGCAAGTTAAATTCAAGCTGCCCCCAAGCATTACCTCAGATATGGGGTCTGGAGGTCGCGAGAACTGGGGTGGAACTCGTCGTATTTTCACATATAGATTTATGACTTTCGAATGCTCCGTTCCGACAGCATTTTCCGCTACGCATTCATATTTTCCCTAACGATAAGTATATTATATAAGTACAATAAAAAAAAGGCATAAACTTCTTAATTGTAAGTACCTGATCAGCTTCTTCACTTTGTGATATTTGCAATGAACCTTTAAGGGTAGAAAAACCACACAATAAAAATATAAAAAATTGTTATACAATGGTAGGGCAAAGAGAAAGGTAGCTTTTTGATTTTTTTACCGTCTAAAATGGTGTAACGTGATGACATATCGACTTTTTTCATGTCCTTTAGCCAATAAACTTTAGGTGGTGGATTTCCATGTGCTTTGCATTGTAGAACAGCCGTATGACCGATTTCAATGACTCGACTGTTCGTTCCAGTCTGAATATTGAAAAAAAGGAACACATATGAATGAGGGAAAAGTGCAATTGTGTTGGGGATTTTTAAAAATTTATTATAAAATGTCTAGATGCAGAAACTATTAAAAATTTCGAATAATATATGCTCGTACCTCAATTGTTGGAAATCCTGATGGTGCTTTATCAACTGAAAATGAAAATTATGAACGATACCACTGAGAATGCTAAATTTTCAAAGTTCTTTCTTGTATTTTTTTTCGGAACATTTTTCATTGATTCTCACACCGATATACTAATGCTTTGTCTTCATAGACTGTCAATATGTATTCTATGGCTTTTTTGGTTTCTCTTTCCACTTTTCTCTCTGTCTTTCCTTTGCGTATTATGAGATTACGATTAAGACAGTTTCATGTGGCTGTCAAACAGAAATTCCACTTGACATATTTCCAGATTATACCTGACCATTTTTCATACGATTTAACAAAATATTTTCCCTCAAATGGCTGCAAATAGATTTTTTTTATTGGCAGCTTGAACAATCTAACCTTGAATCTTGTTTCTTTTTCATGAATTTTTAATATTCTCAGCAAAGAAAGTGTGTCATAAATTATGAGATAAAAAAGTCACACTCAATGAAAAATGCGCCACAGTCTTACAAGTTTACAATGCCATAACTTTTCATTCACTTTTTCATTCCATATTATTAAAAATTATTACATACCTTCATATACAGTTAAAGTTGCTTCTGCACTAACAGCATCACCCACACCATTTTCAGCGATACATTCGTAAGGAGCATCGTCTCTTCCTGCTCTCACAGGCTCAATACGTAATATGGATATTCCATTTGATTCCAGAACTGTATATCGACTTTGGGTGCCTAGATTTTTATGAAAGTTTTTTTAATATTGATTAAAAAACATAAATAAAATCGAGGAAGAAAAAGAATGGGAGAACAAAAAAATCTATGTATTTATGTATCGGAAAAGTTATTACATAACATGCCAAAACAGAAATAAATAATTTTATTTTATTTATTTTTCTCTTTCGAATTTTTTTAATGAAAAATCGGAAAAAAAATTTCCAAGCATATTTTTGGACAAGCATATTCTTCTCTGTGCTTAATTTTAATGCTATTATTTTTTTGTCCAGTATTAATAGGGATTTTACTATGTAATGATGCCCACAAACCACACACGCATTTCATTTTCATAATATTAAAAGAATACTTCTGTCTATTTAAAAAAATAATCAGGGTAGAACCTATCCAGAAACATTCCCTTTTTCAATTCATTGATTTTTGTTGAATATTAAATGTAAATTGTAATTAAGAATCAGGGAAATCATACATGAAAATTTGTTAAGTTGATATAAAAGTTAATTAACATTAATGAAGTTGCGTAATAAAAATTTTTTGCAGGGGGAAGCATCAGTCGTAATGTCATTAATGCTTTATGAAAAGGAAAAAAAAATCTTTATCTTCTTTAATTTAATTTTTCACAAATAATTTAATATTTTTTTTTCATAGGCCTTTAGTTAATTGAAGTTCTTTTTTTCGAATCGAATTCTGTTGTGGATGTTCGAAAGCCGCTGGAACTTTTTTAAGGATGAAATATAATTGAGTATTAAAATTATGCTGAATATTAAATATTTTATGCAAGATGTAAAATACCAATTTAAAGGGACGCGGGAAAAATTTCTCTACTTAAAAAAATGTTGTTATGAAAAGAAGCTGAATAAGAGGTTCTTTTAAAGAAATTCTTCCAGCAAATATTAAATTACTGAATACTTCAAGTTTTTGTAGGAAAAAAATATATATAAGATACAAGCAAATCTCTAGTAAATCCATGACGTTAATATATTTCCGAGAGAGATAGAGAGCAACAAAAAATGACCATTAGACTTTAAGTGCACTTTTCACTCTAATTTATATCCATTTGCGCAACTTACTTGAAACCTTCTTTCCGTTTTTTCTCCAATTGATGGATGGTTGTGGATCCCCTCGTGCTGAACAGAAAAATGTTGCCACTCCCCCAACTTTAACTCCCTGACTCACTGGCTTCTTTATTATTTCAGGCGGATCTAAATGTATAATGATTTACATCGACAATTAATTGATGAAGGATATAAAAGTTAAACATGAATGACGATATAATTTATTGACACAGCCATTTCGACGACTGTGTATGACTTACGTGTTAGATAATGTATATATGGAAATTCTGAGAAATTTCCATCTATATAATCCAAATAACCGATTCAAACATTTTTTTTAAACTTTATTATTCATTTGTGGATAATTTAAATTTTATAGTGGATAGTTTTGGTATGGATTTAATAGGGGGAAGGATGGATGTTGTTTATGGAGTGAGAGGTCAAATACAATAATAATTTATGATTTATTTAATTACATAGCATCGACAATAATAACAACAAATCATTTTTGATAACGATTTGATTGTTTGCGAGACTCATTAGTCAGCATTATATTATCTCTTTTGGATGTTTAATAAAGAGAACATGATAATGAATTTTTGTCAGCTCGCAATTCCTCATTCAGAGGAAAATAATCGTCCAACTTTTTTTTTTATTTTTTTATTATTAAACTTTTTTTTAAAGCGAGAAAATAAAAAATGTAGAAAGGAAGAATGAAATAAATTATCAACTTATTCTGGTTTATTGACGCAAATACATAAGCATCTCAAGTAGTATTGTCATGAGGGCGAAAATTAATTCTATGAGTATCATTCCTATCGTTCGTTTTGTGAGCACATAAAAAAATGTGCTTTTGTTCGCATTTTGTCTGAGATTTTTATCGAATTTCCATGCAGTCAGGAAACCATTTAATATCTCTAATTATAATTACCAACAGTCGTATTATTTCTATGGAACGGATGTTGAGGAAAGCCCTATCAAAAAGGATAAATTTGGTAAGTAATTACCACTAATAACATATTAATTCTCATATTCTTTAATTAACATCCTCTAACATTTTCATTGTCTTTACAAGAGATTTTCTCGTATCGAAAATGTCATGGAATTAATTATTATTGAATTTCGAGAATGTCCTGATGACACAAAGAATGTTTCTATTGATTACACACTTTATGGCATTAAGCACTCTTAATATTAAGTCGATTTTAGCTCATTATCACCATAACAATTCAAACAAGTGAAGTGGTTTATCATGTTTTGTTACGTGATTGCGTTTTTAGAACAAATGACAGCATTTATTGGACTGTTGAATTATTTATAATATATTTATTAGCTAGTTCTATTGATATTATCTTCATGAATAATTTAACTAAAATTTTATTGATTGAAATGAAATTGTTTTTATGAAAATATTTACTTTTGTCCCACTCGTTTTTTTTGGTAAAGTACAAAATAAATAGCTTATCATAAATTTATCAGTTTGATAAATGTCAAAGTAATTCTATCGATTTTAGAATTCAAAAAGTGTTGTTGACAGATTTAGAATCTGATACCCCAGCCCAAGAAGGTCAGCTCTATTCAAATTTCATGAGATTTTTTTTTATATGAATTATGATATCATACCCTTGACTACTATCTTTATAAATTTCTGGGTAATATTTTTAAAACATAAAATATAATAGACACATGTTCCAAAACTTTTAAACTCAGATTGACATATTTCAATTTAGACTCCATATTGTCTAGATTCTTCTGCTATCTCAATTTTTAATTCTTCATATTCATCGTCTCACTTGTCATTTGATGTATTAATCCAAAGAAAGAAAGAAAAAACAAAAAAAGCTCGATTGTCACCCTTATCTGTCATGTCTACAACTTGGTCTTCGTCTCTTTTGCATGAATGATAATTTATACGCTCGTCACATTTTTTATTTTATATTTTTTTTTTTTGTTGTTTGAAGGATCTTGAAATATTGCAATTAAAAAAATGTTTATGATGACTTAAAAAGTCTCAACATTTCGTCTCACGACTTGTTTACTTTAATTTTCCCAAGCTGAATTAGAAGGAAAAAAAAATTAATTTTCCTTATCTCAGGCAATTGCAGACGGCTTCATCAAAATGAGTGTATATAGAGTATAAGAGCATTCATTTTAATATCTTAATGAAATAAAGGAAAGAAGAAAGGAGATTCTTTTTCTATACACTTTATGTGGGTAAGTTTACTTTTTAAATTTCCAGAGGAAAGAGAAATCTTATTTTTATGCACACATTGACTTTAAATACTCTTATTCTTTTTTTTTTGTATATTCTACGACAGATTTTCTGGATAAAATTTTTCGTTTATTCTTTTTTAAATTGAGTCATTTTAAGTTTGGTAATAGGGGAAATTAAATTAAATTGATGCATTTCTATCCGGAGCTAAATCCAACGCCTTTTATGTTTTCAGACTTTCATAATAAAAGCCATTCTTCAAATTGTTAAAAGACAAATAATTGATGTAGGTGTATGATAGAAATTGAATTGGAAGTTTTTTTAAAATAAATACAATGATTCTCTTATATAATTATATGTAATAATGTTGAATTCGGTCCTTGAATCCTACTGAGTTCACAATTCAGAAAGAGAAGTCGAATACAATTTTACTTTAATTGATCAATGATTCTGTATGGTTTAATCTTCTAATTTCCCAAAAGGTTTCATGTTTATTGCATTTATATGGACTTGATTTTGTCAAATTTCTACAATGCACAATCATTAATTCTTAATCTTCAATGTGATTCATTCTCAAATCAAAATTGAAGAAATTTTCAGAAACAAAACTTTTGGCGCAAAATCTTTAACAAATTAAATTCAATCTTTTCGGTTGTTTTAAAACTATTTGTAACTTAGTCTGACAAGCGAGTAAATTTAATTACTGTAAAAGTTACTCCAGAATAGTTGGTTCCGTTTATTTTTCTCTTCCTTTCTCTTTTTTTCCCTTCATCCGAACGAAAATATCCCTTAAATGAAAATTACCATAAGACAAATTTCTGGGCCTGATCGATAAAAAACAATATCAATTTTCACATAACATTTCGTCACATATTTTTCAGTAAACCATATTCTTAAGAATTGAGTCATAATAAAAACTTTCTCATTCACGACTCGAATTGATAATTTTTCTTCCTTTTCTTATTCATCGTCTTTCCTTTCTACAAACAAAGCATAGTCCTTACTTACTCCATCCAATAGAATAATGTCATTCTATGGGAAATTGATTTAACTTGTAAATTTTTCTTTTACTTGAGGGTTTGTCTTTTATGTCGTGCTTTTTTTTCTTTAAACTCAAATATAAACAATGTCGAGTAAATGGTATGTATGGATGTATATATATAAAATGGTTCTTTATACTCACGAGACGCATTAATTGTTTCAGCTATCCATAAAAGGGCAATCACTGTTATAAATAAGTAGATATTTGTTGCTGCTCGATGCAGCCCCATAGCTTTTAAAATTAGCAATTTGAAACTTGTATTTTCTCAATAATGTAACAACGAAATTTTGTTGAAGATATGAAACGAAGACTATAGTACTGAATTAAAAATAAAAGAAGTAAAGAAATAAGGTAATTAAGATTTTTTAATATGAAATTATTATGGTTTTGGTATCGTGAAATATCCATATGAATTCTTTTTTTTTTCAATGTTTTACAAGAGAGCAAGGCAAGCAAGTGAATTTTCAGTTTTTTTTTTTAAATAAAGGGGAAAAAATGAACGTGTATGAAAATATATAGGAAGCGAAAGGAATGAAAATAAGGTATAAGGGTTAAGGGAACTTTTCAACACTTTAATTATATTTAATATACAGAACGAGACGCTTTAGAATTTTTTTTTTTCATGCTGTATTCCTTTTTGAGTTTTTTTTCGTTCGCACTCGAAACTCATTCCTATCCACCTATTGCACTAGAATAATTTAAAACTTTTTTTCTAATTCAAATTAGAGACTTAACAATTTTTAAGCATATTTTCTCATAAAGGGAGGTGCTATTATCCGCATTTAATCCGTTCGTCTGTCATGAGATTTGATCCCCAAAAGGAACAAAGTTATTTCTCATAATTTTACGTTATTATGTCTGGCTTTGATGCATCCTGATGAAATATTATTTTTTTTTTGAAAACTACAATTTCACAAATGAAATTCATTGAATTGTCGGAGCTAATCATGCAAACATATGGAACTATATTCAGATCCTAAAATTCAGTCCATCAATCATATAAAAGCATTCACAAGAGAAAAGTTTCTATATGATGAACAATTTTTGGACAGTAATCGTCATATTGGTTTGGTCAGTTTCACCAGCACAGAACATAAAAAAATTCTTACTTCAGCAAAAAGTTTAAACTTTTAGAATGCTATTAATAATAAATTTAATAGATATTGATTCAAGGTATCGTTTCAGTGTTTTTGTTAACATTGAAGCCATCATGACTAGAGCGGAATAAGATGATGTGAACTTTTTTTTTATAAATTTCATTCATCATTGAAGATTAATTACGTAAACAGGATATTTGTTTGATATTTTTTCACAAAATATTTTTTTTTGTGCTCGTTCGACAGCAATTTTCGGTCAATAAAAAAAGATTTATTAAGTTAAGACAGATACTGTAAATACAGCTCATATTAAATTGATATTTTAGCATCGGATAATGGAATTTATGAGTTTTTTTAAAAAGTGATCAAATTGAAAGCATTTAAGCAATTTCGGACTTAATTCAATATTGTCATTCTGCTGGAATGGGTTCTTTTATAAATTTAATTATAGATGCTCTATTATCAGTAAAGCCTGACATGACTGTACTTGCATGACCAGATCATAACTTGTCAAATTTTTATAAATAGGAACGTTAATTCATAACGGCATAAAAGTCAAGCGCTTCATCATTAGTGATGACCAAGTGTCTGGTCATATGATTTATCTGTCATGCCTGACAGCTACTGAATTATTGGCCAGTTGACATGAATATTTATTTATTGTTTAACAAGGCATAAATATCTTCCAGTCATTTTTTGCCACATGAGATCTGCTAAGTAGCTGCAAGCTTTACTGTCAATTTGGAGCTAGTCTTAAGGATGTGTTTTTTTTTTTTTCGTTGAACTTCATTTATATTCTGAGTGAGATTTTCAGGAAGATTTTGGATGTAATTTTAGGACATAAAATAAGATCCAAATAGATGTTGGGAAATTTATCATTTCTCCCGCCAAAAGTTCCTCGACAAAATTCATAGCCTTTTGACAATCTAGCTTGGAAATTGAATTTTCAAGATAATGAAGTCATTAAGTAGATTTAGTAATTTCTAAAATGTTCATTAGTTAACATTTAGATCCAAAATCTATAAAATTGAGGAAAAATACAATTTTTTTCAATAGTAGATGATATCTATAGCTTACAAATCACTTAGTCAGTTAATTGACATTCTAAAAGAAATATGCCGTAGGGATGAAATTAGTCAGTTATGATAATAATGACCATTAGTGACCAAAATCAACAATGATCTAGATCCCACATTTCCAAAAACTATTCAATATATCTAACATCCTAAAACAACATTGAGTCCACAAATGGCCAGTAAATGCCTGGTCATTTAGAGACTAAATGAAATGTCATTTATTAGATGAAGAATGTTGATAGCTTTTGATTATGAAGGAATTTCTCTGATAAATGCGCTATCAGAGTTAAAGCCGACGAGAACTTTATGAAAAATCTGTTATCCTAATCCTAACAACAATGCCGAAAAAACTTTTTTTTAACACTCATTCATTTTTATGCTAATTATTTTTCACCTTTTAGATAAATTCATTTTTATCTCCTTTCATTTGATATGATTTATTAACTTGATTCTGATTTTATAATGTACGAATTTTCATAATTAATTATTAATACTTTATAATTCATTTTAATATGACTTAATTTATTACTCTCAATAAAAATTTGTTTTTTCTTTGCCTTTTTTTTCAATTTCACATTTTTTTATAACAAATTTTTTTTTATTTACTTTTTTGATTCACTCATTTGTGAAGAAAGTTCATTGAAGAAATCGTTTGTTTGCTCTTTCTTCTTAAAGATTTTATAAATTTTAAATTCCTTCAGTATTCTCATCTCAATTCAGAGATTGTATCCAAATATTTGCTTGTTGAACACATTTGAAACTTTCAAAACATTTCAAAAATTTAACATTAAATTCATCACATTGCATTTTATGACTTTTAAAATTGATTATTTATGTGTTATACTGAAAGAAAAAGTATGTGTTTGTATGTTTGTATGTATATTGGGGGAAAAGGAAGGAGGGAAAATTGTCGTTTAAACTTAATAATTTTCTCTTTGTAAAAGTCTTTTAGAATTAAAAACTTTTTTTTTATGCGAGATGCGATAAATTTTACGTGTGAATTGACCGAGAGTTGAGAGAGCACTGCTGTTATGGATTGACAGTCTCGAGTACGTAGGGGAAAAATTTAACTCAAGGATCTGCGCACAACGACTTCCCCATGCAATTTTTGAGAGTTTGCTGGAGAAATTTTCTCATTTTTTACAATTTCACCACCATAAATTCTCAAATTTTCACATTTCTCCTCCAATTTTCCCCAATTTCTCATCAAATTCTCCAACTAACAGTTTGTCTGTCTTATAAACAATTGCCAAAACATTTTTCTGATCAGTTAAACAAGAATATTTGAGTGATAAGGTGGAAGTTGTTCATTTTACCTGGAAAAATTATTCCACTCGTTTCGTACGTAACATCGGAGTCGTTTGTCGAAGTGAAAAAGATAAAGTTTGAAAACTTTAATGAAAATATTTTTGTTGAAACAAAAACTGTGAATGAATTTCTCCATTAAGGATTAAAAACTCGTGGAAAATTTATCTACGAAAGTTAAAATTTTTGACAAGGAAGAAAAAAAATTTCTATGGATTTTCACGATACAATTTGCCAATTTTCCTCTTCACACAAACTTTTCCGAACGAAGTTTAAAACTTTTTAAAAGATTCACGAAGAAAAATTTGCATGAAATTTATTGTTTTTAATTGCACATAAGTTTTCCTTTTATTGCCAAGGAAAAACTTTTTTTTTTGGGCAAATTAAAACATAAGAGGAGAAAGTGCTACAAAAAATGATAGTAATTTAATTTTTTTTTAAATGATCACAGAAGAGAATCCTTACCTTAATCGTCTATACTGATTTCCATTGATTTAGTTTTCTGCGAAAGAGAAGGAGAAGAATGAAGAGGAAACAATTATAAGATTTGACACTTGGAAATGTTTTAAAATTGAGATAGAATAGGAACGTATTATACAGAAGAATAATAGAGTAATTTGACAAAGCTAAAAATTTGTCACAATGTATATTTTAGATAAACAAGAATAAATTTGAAGCCTGATAAGCGCAAAACGTTAAAGTCCATATTTCATTATTTTCCCTCCGTTCATTCGTTCGTTCGTTCGTCTCTTACTCCTTTTGATAGTAGAGTGCTGTGTATTATGAACAGGACGAGTTTAAAAGAATCATTTTTATTGATCATACAATGAATTATTAAACGCATTTGCTCCAAAAAATCTGTTTGAGATGGAAATAAAATTGCGCCAATTTTCTCAATGAAATTTCACAAGACGCTGAGCAGTCCTTCGTGGAATACAAAAGTTTATGCATATCGATTTATTCAAAATAATTCAAAAGCTATATTTAAGACCAAATCACAGAAACGAAAAAAAAGTACCTGGCAGAAAAATTTCACGCCTATTAATTTCCTTTCTACTAAGAAAAGATGAATTCAAAATTTTACGGACCTAAAATTAATGTTCTGGATAAATTAATTCGTAAATTATTCAATTTTTGAGGAATAGAAGTTTTCAAGTTTTCTAAGAAAATCCACTTAATTTATTCTTTATATCAACAAAATTGCTCTTAAGACTTGACTTTGATCTTGGAATCAAAATTCTTACCCCTAAAGCTCTAAACTGAACACGTTTTATCATAAATAAATTGTCTAAAAATATTCTTAATAGCTCAATTTGTCAGAAATTGTCAATTCTTCAATCTTATTTGGCTCATGAGAATTTTTAACAAAAATGTCAACATTTTCTTGATAAATATTTTTAAAATTCTGTTCAAAAAGTTGAATTGAAATTTTTAAAATTTAAAAGAATTGTTTTAATTTAAAAAAGAATCAAGCTAGGGCTCCAAAACTAGATGATAGTTTATTAAGCACTTTTTTGTACCCGTCTGGTATCAATGCGTGCTTCTTTCAATAAATCAACAACTTTTGTCAAAAAAAAAACTTCTTAATAATCTAATAATAAAAGGTTTAAATCTAGAAGAAAAAAAAAATCCACTTCGAAACAAAATAAATACATTTTGACACATTATTGAAAGTTAAACTATGAAAAAACTTTGATGAGAAATTGTCCCAAAAGTTTTCTTTTTTGCCTTAAAACTTGAAAAAAATTTATCAAAGTTTGCACAGACAATTGTGCATTATACTAATCCCAATAAAAAATGGAAATTTTTCATATAAAATAAATAAGAATTATCTGCTCAGTTCCATAAAGAAAAAAATTTCCCCGCTAAACTTTTTTTTTATTCCAAAGAATTCGAGAAATGTTGAATGTTCCTTTAAAATTCAATTCTACAGACTCTGTCATGATATGGTTCAATATCAGTGTATCTCTTTTGTTAGTTTAGCTTAGGTATGTTTCATGAAAAAAATTTGCAATACGAAGATAAAACCACGTGCTTCTCAGCACAGACTTGAAATCATAAAAAAAATCTGGCAAACATTTTTTAAATCTTGTTTGAAAAAAAAAATATTCAAACTAAAGCTTTTTTCATGGTAAAACTTGCACAGAGAACCAAAAAAATTCTTCGAAATCAGCATCCATTCAGAACTAGTCTATAAAGAATTTCCTAATAACTTGCTTGAGCAACATAGTTACAATTTACTGAATATAGCCAAATTAAGTGAATACAAAGCTGTGGAATATTCTGCTCAAAATTGCTGCTTCATGCTCTGTAAAATAAGCTCTTGTGAATAAATTTTTCATTACTTTTAAGACTAAAAAAAAGGAAGATGAGGCAGAAGATGATAGAAAAGAGAGAGAGGAAAAAAAGTCAATTGAAAAAGATGAGCCTTTCAAGAATATGAAAATGCCTATCAAGTGCAATTTATAAATGAGAGCTTAGTGAAATTGGACTTTTACACTTTCGTTCTATTTTTTGGAAAGAATCCATTTATAAAAGAGTCAGGGATGTAGCTTGGAATTTTTGAAGAGCAGGGACAGCGTCTGTGTTAAAGGATTGCCTTGACAGCTCAATGAAACCATAAAATAAAGTTTGCACTTATAAAATATATCCTAGCATCACTTGTGCTCACGATTAGATGACTTGAACCACCAAAAATGTATACAGCCCTTAGTTCCACCCCTGACACTATAAAGAGGATAAATCTTTCGAATATTTCACAATTTTAAAATATGTATTGGAGATGGTCTCTTTTGGAAAGCATGCTTGAGGGCAATTATGCTAATTCATAAATATAGAAAGAGCTTAACTCCGAAAATATGAGAAATATTTTCAATGTAAAAATTTTATGTGAAAATTGATTGAATTTTATGGAAATAGTTGTCTATTTGTACAACATAAATGAAGCTTCGATTATTCATTTATTTTATCTAGATTTTTTTTTCGTGTATGAATGGTTTATGAATTTTGAATAAAAAGTCGACACTCTGGAAATGAAGCAATAATAAAAAGCAATTCAGTGTGTGTATGTCGTGTCAAAAGTTCAACATTATAATTCATTCATGTACAATATTCGACAATGTGCATACAATATAGTGCGAGATAATAACTCATATTGAATATAGAAATTTTTTTTACAAAAGCCTGTTTAATAAATTTTGTATGACTTTATTTTTTCATCGCTTCCAAAAGTTAATTATTTTCAATAATAGGAAAATAATCAAAACATATTTTCATTAAAGCATACACAATAATGTGAATAATTATATTAATTTTCGTCTCATGTAAAACGAGAGCCAATTTTTGAATAATTTTGATATTTAGAATACTAGCTGGAAAATAACATGAAATTTGATGAATATTCACATTGAAACTAGTTGATGCTATCAACTTAATGGGAATATAATTGGATTCTTATAGGACTTTCATAACAAGTGCCTGCCTTTTTGCACTTTCTATTTACTTGAAAAGTTCTTCAACTTCTAAATGACCATAGAAACATAAATGCTTAGATACTAGCCGACGCAAAAATTACAGTGTCAAAAAGGTGAGCCAAGTTTATGAATATGATAGTTATAAGGCATCTACACCTCAAAGACGGTCGGTTTGTACACTTAAAAGGCTTCTTTACCTTGTGAATTTTGCCACAATATTAATTTTTCTCCAATTTGTCTCTATTGACAATTTTTTTGTGTCAACAACTTGTGGAAGTAGAACTGACTATTAAAAAGTGATAAACTATCCAATTTCTAGATATTAAATTATTCTCGTTTGTAATTCTAGTCATGTACTTGAAGATTTCTACAGTTCATAATTCTTATGACTGCTAAAAGAATGTTTGAAGTATGTTTTTAAAGATTCCTACCGAACTTGAATTTAAATGCTTCATTAAATATTTAGTCGGTTCTTAGGAATGGTAGCTTCTTTAGTTATTCATGAATAAAATTGCAATTTTGTCAATAAATTGTTGCTTAATGTCAGTTTTTCTGTTTAAAAGAGCGAAAACCACAATTTTATTGGGTCTAATATTTTCAAATTTAAATATTTTGTGATGACGAAGCTTTAAAAACCTTCACAGATCTCGAGTCTGAACCCCAACCAATCGTGTCCTTAAAATTAAAGTACATTGACACGGAATTCGAAAACAATGAGTCAACAAACAAAAGAAGCGTCAAAATCTGAGAATAATAGCTCAAATATCCCCATTAAATCAAATAGAACATCAATAATTATTAGGTATGTCAACAGAAAAACTCATTGTTGAAATTTCTAATTCCAATCGATCAAAACCCGATAATTTATTACCATACAAAAAATTGTTGACACTCTCCACATTCTAATCTATTTTGACTAACATAACATACCATTAAAGGATATCCAGAAAATCTATAAATTTGGTAATCATAGTAAAAGTCTCTCTATATTAAGTGACATGCTCCTTAATCTGTCTCTTAAATTCTTCAAGAAATACCAAGATTTCTTATTCAAATATTTTCTTAACATACTTCAGGAATGAAGTCGTTAGGACACTCGAGAAATATGTTAGAATTTCCTACTCTCATTTCAGTCATGCAAACAAAAGATATACAAATAATAATAATTAACTGAATTGGCAATTGAATATATAAAAGATTATACAGAATGAGAGAGAAGTATTCCTTTAAGGTTTATTATTATCCCAAGATATATATATATATTTATAAATAGAAAGTCTGAATGTATGATGGAACTAAGTTCCTAAGCCCTTAATAAATTTTTATTGTGTACAATTATGCTAATTAAGTTCTTATCTCACAATTTCTGAACGTATTAAGTAATTAACTCAAAATATATCAATTAAGGGTTTTGCGACTAGTTTGCATGAGCTTGTACATGTAAGTCAAAAATTTCTATAGTAATTTTGTAATATATATTTTTATATGTATCATATTTCCACACAAAAAGACAAAGCAAATTCTCAATGAATATCAAACATTTTTTCATGTGCTACGATAGTATTCAAGGAATGTTACACATTCGGGTAAGTTCGTCCTTACAAGACGAAAATTTTCGTGATAAAGTAATGTTTGAGAAGCAAAGAGGGTTGTGGATACAGTTGTGTCTGTGAAAAGTGTAGTGTTATGTGCTATGTGTCTGAGAAAATTGTGTCTAAGCTTATGCCGCAACATAATAAAAGCTTGCTATAATAATATCCAAGACACAATCATGCTTCGAGTCTCGAGGATAGCTTGACTGTGAGTGTAAAAGTGACGCAGCTGTGAACTTGACAAGTCCTTTTGGATCCTTAATTGTGCACTTGACTCAACACACACTCTCAAAATATTGCACTCAACAAACTTTTGTCTAACAGTGATTGTCGAAATGCTCGTCCATGAAGAGATTTGAGAAGCACAGCAATTTGTGTAAATGGTAAGGATTGAAAAAAATTATCTTAATCACTGCCATTATTTCAAATAGAAAAATCACTAATGATAAATTCTTTTCAACTTTTCTTTTATACTTTTTTTCCAGAAGAGAGACACACTTTGATTTAAAATTGCTTATTGATTGGAACTGAATGTTTGTCTTCCCGAACGTACGAACGAACTTGTTTCTTGTTTTACTATTGACAATCGATTTTAAATTTATAATATACAATCCCGTGTAATCACACTAATATCTCTAGTGATTTGAACTAATTACTATCATATTACTACACTATATTATTAGCTTCATCATCAATTTTACTGTGATTTCATCAATATTGTTTGAATTTTTTTCAACTTATATTTTAAAATAAAGGAACAAAAAATTTGTTTACCATATTAACTTAAAGAGTCAATTTTACAAAACTTTTCCAATCTGATATTTTTTCACACTTTTTCAGGAATTGTTCATTGATAAAAATCTCGTACTTCACAATATCGATATTACACTCATATTAATGTAACTTTTCGTGATATTTTACTCTTATTTTATCCTTAAATCAATTAATAAAACTTAAATTAAATTTTTCCATTAAACTATTTTCGTCTAGATGAAAGAAAAGATTATACGAGTTTGAAAAAAAACTGTACCTTGTGAACATTTATGTCTAGTCCAACAACTGCAAAACATTCCGTTAGACATGATTTCTTATTAAAACATTCGAGTACGAAGCGCTAGCTGATAATAATAAAAAATATTATCAGTAAATACGTTTCAACTTTCTTATTATTATTTTGCCCTCTGATTAACGATCAACTTTATTCATTTCAGACTTAATGACGAGATCTTGCACAGTTTTGTTATGACACAAAACCTCACAAAACAACCAAAAATCTTATTAGATTTCATGCAAATTCCAATGGTTATGACAAATTCATAATAACTTGTTTTAAGCAACATGTTTCATAATTCAAAAATAATTGTGCCTGAAACTAATATTATCATGTTCTGCTGATTGTTTTTGCAATAACAAATGATCTTTTGTTTTGAAATTTTAATTTCAAGGATACTTTTTTGTTTATGTTATTTGACAAATTACAGATAAGAAAAATTAGTCATGCTGAATGCGAATAATAATTATTAGAAACTCACGTGTCAAAGATTTTTAACGTTTTTTATCAGACAAAAAATTATTTCTGCTTGATTAAAATAAAACAATCAAATAAAGTCGTTCGAATTAACAATTAAATTGACTAATCATACGAAGAAAAAACATCAAAATGATCAGCATTGAATGAAACTTCGCGTAAAGAATGCAAGATTCATATTGTCATTTAAAAACAAAAAAACACCAAATTTCCTTATTTACGTTTCAAGGTGTTTTTTGGGGGCTCGATCCGAAACATAAACTGTCATTCATGTACTACACAATGTGCTTCACTTTGTCTGGCTAAAGGTTCATTTTGAATGGAGATGTCTTTTTAAATGAAGCAGCACAACAATATGATTAAATCATTAATACAACCTGTCATAACTAATATCACAAGAAAGATTGAAAAAAAAAATTAAAAACTTTATAAACCTATTATAATATTTGTAAACAAATGGATTCGCTACAGATATGTACATTAGCTCACTTTTCAACTTATTTTGTAGACTTATTACTCTACGATGAGATTTTTTTCAAACTTTTTTTTATCTCTTAATTTTTTTTTAATTTTAAGAAAATAAAGTTTAACTATGGATTATGGCAAGAATCTATTTCGAAAAATGCAATATGAGGTAAGTAGCAACAAGTTTTAATTAAAGTGTAGTGAAAAAGTGTGAAGAATCTTTTAATATTCATAAATATTTTGTTAATGAACAGTTGTTTTGTTATCACGACGTACTATTTCATTTGGAATGAAATGCAACATGTTAAAGAACATATCGATAGAATACTTGATAATTAATACTAAATAATTCATACATTTACTATATTCGTGCAGATGAGTTCGCTTCTATTAATATTTATTTAAAGGAATATCATTGAAAGAAAAAATTCAGTACAAAGATACTTAAAGTAAATGAAGTAAAATCGATTTTTTTCTAGAATCAGTGATGTAGCCAGAACTTTTGTAGAGGTGTTTATAAGAAAAGTTTACATTATAAAATCAAAGCAAGCAATTTTAAATCTTTTTTAATTTTCGGTTTAAATTTGAAATTTATCGAGAATGAAGGTGACCCCCCCCCCCCACTCCCTTAGCTATGTAACGGCAAAGAATGCACATAACTCTATTCATAGAAAAAATAATTACTATGAGTCAAGCATTTCATGATGAATAAGTACTGTTTATATATGTACATATATACAATTCATTTTCAGGCGGTGTCTGGCAACTTTGTAGAAAATTTAAACTCCAATGTGAATATGCTTAATAACAACAAAACGGGGCTATGTGATAATGAAATCGTCGACATAGATGAACAAAATGAAATTGAAAATAATCAGTTAGAGAATGAGCTTAGACGAGGTAGCTCCTCGAACATGCTTGTATCGCAAAGCTTTTATACACAAGAACGATTCAAAGTTTTACTCGGTAAGTGTGTCTTTTTTATTAATTCACGTATATCCAACACTCGTTCAGAATGCATACCTGTTTTGCTTTATTCATGTTATTCTCTCTACTTCTGTTATACAGAGAACATTCATGTAGGTTTTGTTTTGCATTGTTTAATCTTAGACACTGTACACGCTATGTGAAACACTTTCGTTCGATTTTAATTTGAGTGATTTAAGCACGATGTAAATTCTGCTGTTATTATCACTTCGGTTGTAGGTTGGACGTGATTTTACTTATGAATAATAGGTTCTCAAGTTTATAATACATTCTTATCATAATGAGACATTTTATCTTTAAATTGTTTAATACTTACCATTGAAGAATTTTGCTGTTGAGTAATCCAGTTCATTTCTGAATTCGCTTATTAATTATTAACTGTATAAATTCTCACTCATCGTTGTATCCGGTAAAGTAAACACTTGGGAAGGTTTTCCTTTTTTTTTCTCCTCGATATAAATAATTAAAGAAATTATTTGAATCAATTTCAATTAAATGAAAAAATCAAATATCTGTTGACTGTAGGAGAATGCAAAAGTTACTTAAATGAAAGAAAATAACTCAAATGATTTTATTATGTCTTGTTATAATATAAATATTGCTTTTTCAAATTTAGCATTCATCATTCTGGTGTTCAGCTTTTTTATCTCGACGATATCATTAATATTCACACATGACAGGTACTGTAGACTTTAAAGAAAAAATGAAACGTTAGACTTTATGACTTAATTTATTCAAAATACTTTTTATCTGTTTTTCTAGATTACCAGCAGAGAAAGAACCACTTCCTGACATCTTCCTTGATAACGTTAAGTCTGTTGATTATTTGCTTTATGTAACAGAAATTCAAATTATCATCGTAGTAAATTTGTGCATTATAATAATTTTCTTTCATAAAAAGCGGTAAGTGGACATAAATCATAGTTATTCGAAGGCTAAACTTAACTCCATAAATTCTCTCTCTCTCTCTTTCTCTGTCTTTATAGAATGATTGTTGCCAAAAGATGTTTCCTTCTACTATCGTTATTATACATTTATAGAGCAATCACTATGTCGATAACAGTTTTGCCAATATCCTCATCCACTTATTACTGCTCGCCTAAGAAATCATCCTCGTTTTTAGAAGTATTACAACGATCATTTTGGGTATTCACGGGAATGGGATTAACAATTAATGGACAACAGCAATATTGCGGCGATTCAATATTCAGCGGACATAGTACAATTTTAATGTTTGCATATCTTGTGTTAGACGAATGTAAGTTTTTTTTTGTCTTTCAATGTCATTCACAATTCCTCTGGTGCTGCCACTGTCGATTGAAATAATGCCATGCATTTTTAATTTTGTTCGGCGCATTTATGGACAACAAGTGCGATACACATTAATTTTTTTATGGGTGATTGACTTGAGCAATATTGTCAGTGCCAAAATTTTAAGAATTAAATTTTCTCAGTATTGCAAAATGCAATCTTGATTCAGAGCTACTGAATTTTTATTTGAACTTTTTAATAATATAATTCTGAACAAAATCAATGAAGCAGACATAAATCCATCATGCTAGCAACTTATTGCTAATTAGCTAACATTTTCTCTCAATTTTGTTTCATCAATAGATTTACCGAAGAAATTCAGGTGGCTTAAGAGGCTTTCATTGTTAAATGCTATATTGGGCATGCTTTTCCTACTCATTTCTCATTCACATTATACAATCGACGTTGTTTTAGGTAAGTAGAGCAATATTAAATATTGTGGAAATAATTGAACTACAAATACTTTTTTTATGTCTCATTTTAGCATATTACATTACGACACGTCTCTTTTGGACTTATCATCAGAATCTAAATTTATTATATAATAACAATCTTAACTCAAGTAAAGAATGGTGGATTGGACTTTTCAAATATTTTGAAAGAAATTCAGCGCGAAGCTTTCCAAATGAATTTGAAATTCCCTGGCAACATCACCATCAAGAATCTCAGATATAAAAGCAATGATCTGACATTAACAAAGATATTTAGTGTTCAATTTTTATAAACTTTATAACAATATTATTTACAAAGTTTATATATATATTTATTATATTTCAATGATGTTAGAGTTTTCTAGGCTTTTTTTCTTAATTAATTAATCTTTTTCATATTTCATCAAATTGAAATTCATTCCTTGATATTTGAGCTCGTGATGTAATAGTGCATTAGTTATGTTTTTCGTAGCTTATAAAAGCTAATAAAATTAATATTTTAACTACATTTCAAAGAACATATATTTATAAATAAGGCCGAAAATATAACAAACAGAAACAACATATTTAATAAAAAAGAAAAGTTATACAAATGAAAAGTTAAAGAATTGTGTATTTAATTCATATAAAAGCTTTCTAAAGGAAATAATTACATTATTGTATCAAAAAAGTTCATGATAATCAAAAATCGATTGACACTCTTCTGTTGACTTAAAAAGGATATGTTTTGATGGAATCAAAACGGCAATGACTTGTGAAAAAAAAAGACTGTCAATATTATTCAAAGCCTGTTATACATGCTAATGACATAATCGATGCTATTCATGCTTGATTATTCTTAAAAGCAATTGGTTTTTGGTTTTGTTATCAATTTGAATGAGTTTTCTCCTTTCCAATTCAACAATTACGGAATCGTTAATATCCCACAGCTATCTTCAATGTTATAGACCAACTGCAGGGTTCACCATAGAAATTTTTATTATATCGTGTGATATTCTTTACTTGAGTCGTTGGGGGTAAGTTAATTTAGTGTGATAAAGCATGCAGTATGCTTTTCATTTTGATCTTGTAACTTAATTTTAGATCATTAATCTAAATCTGTTCATTAGTTCAGAGTTCAAATTTTTACAACCGTTTATATTTTTTAAATTCAATAAATTTTCGTCTTCATCCTCAATATGAATTTCATCAATATGAAAAAAAAGTAAGACATCGTACACAAAACATTATAAATGTGCCAACGAATAATTACAGATGAAAATGTGATTTATTCAGGAAATAGCTTTAAAATGTTATTCGAAGGCGTATCACGTTCAATCATTCTCATTCAGTTCTTAAGAATGTCGTTTTTCATAGATTGGTTCGATTTCTTGCTGATTCATATGACAAAAGCAAAAATTTATCGAGTTTTTGGCAGGTAAAATATTCTTTAATGTGGATATACTTAGCATTAGATTATCGAGGAAATATAACATTTACTGAGTAGAAAAAATTACAAAGCAGTTTGTGTACAGCGAAATTAATATTGAATTGTCGTATTTACAGACTCGGAAGCTTTAAATGGAAGGAATGAACATCGAATTTTTCAGCTTCCGCTTCTGGTCATTTAAACTTTTATAGCACAATATTCAATGATATTTCCGTTTTTTTTAACTTGATACTAGAATCCACCGTTAATCATGTCCACCTCTATTTTAAGAATAGAAGAATTGAATGAAACAAGTTCGGAAAATTTGAAGAAAAATATGATCTTCATTATACAACTGATCAGTTTGCAGTCATCGAAAAGTAAAATCAACAGATAAGAAAAGTTATTATATTCACACCGTTTTCACGTGTGAATCTATTGGTTTTGTTCAGATTGAAAAATCAGTTTTTCGCATTTTGTGAGAAAACAAAGCAAAATTGGTTATAAAAGGTCACAGAAAAAAAGTTTGTGCCTGAAATTTTACATCATTTTCAAAAAACAGATTTCAAATTGGTTGTGGCATTGCTGAGAAAATCGCAAAATACGCTTTCTGTAAGCAAACAAGCAAGCAAGCAAGTTAATCAGCAAGAAATCTCAATAACGAGACATCGTAGAGACTTCTAGTTTTTTACATTTGATCCGTGCTGCTCTATAGAAGAGCTGTATTGTTTTTGGGCAAGGTAGGAACAGCCGTTGCTTCAGAAAAAGCAAAAAACTTTCCTTTCTTACGAATTTTTCAAATTAAAAGTTCACTGTGATTTTTTTTAAAATTAAACTTTGGATGAAAAAAATTTTTTTGAGCAAAGAACCAAGAAGGAAACACATTTTCAATTTTGGACTAGGGGTGACCCTAGTCAAAATCAATTTTCTCACTTTTTTCTTCGAGGGTTTATCCAAATGGATTGAAACTTTGCATAAATATTCTAGTGCTTAAAACAAATACAAATAAAATATCCTAAAATTTTTTTGAGCAAAGAACCAAGAAGGAAACACATTTTCAATTTTGGACTAGGGGTGACCCTAGTCAAAATCAGTTTTGTCACTTTTTTCTTCGAGGGTTTATCCAAATGGATTGAAACTTTGCATAAATATTCTAGTGCTTAAAACAAGAAAGTAAAGTGAAGAAAAAAGTGAAAAACTAGATTTTGACTGGACCTGTCCCAAGTTCATAATTGAAAATGTATTTCTACTTGGTTCTTTGCTCAAAAAAATTTTTTGGATGTTTAATTTGAATTGACATAATTCTGACATAAATCACATACCAATATTACTTTTTGTAATGCATAGCTTAAAAAAAATCGAAATCTAAAATTTCGAATACCCCATCTGAATTTTGTTATTACTCTTTACTGTGGAAACCAAAAAACAAATTCTTTATCTTAAAACACTTGACAAAATAGCGACATAATTCATGATTAATTACTTTTTAATAATATTTTAACATTTACGAAAAAATGTGGTTCAAATAAGTGTGAAGTATGGCCGAGATTTGGACCAAAATCAGCTATACTGGTTCATAGTGTTCTCGAGGGTGACAAAATTCAAACTAAGTGTTTTTGTAGCTGACATAATTATGACATAAATTAGGAATATCTTTTGAACTGTGTCGATATGGGTCTCGGACGTACTTCACGCCCACCCTTCAAACTTATGCTGAGCAAATCTTGGTCTATCCATAAGACTTTTGATGGTACGGTGTGAATATATCCGCATTGGGTTTCTACCCGATACACTAGTTTTCGCTCAATTCTGCCTCCTTAAAATACTTTAATTGAATGATTGAATATTTGAATAAAAAGAAGAACTGTCTAGAAAGGAAAAGAATAAAATGCAGATTGTTTACTTTCAAATTAGAATATTTTGTTTTTATTTCAAAAAAGAAAAATATGAATATAGTTTTCTTTCCTACATTAATCTTATCATATCTCTAAGTATTTAGACATTTTATTTGAATTTAGAATACCAGATTATAAAACCAGGAAATTTATTAAATTAGAAAATATCACTTCAAACTGTTTTTAAACAAAATTACTCTTAGAATTTCAATTTTGCTTAGAATTGTGCATCAAGTTATAATTAAAGAATTTTGGCAAATTATAAAATGGGGGAATGTGAAAATACCCTAAGATCTTGATCGTGTTTACTACATTTTTCTCTTGTGTTTTTTTGGAAGACAACAGGAAGAACAAAAATTTCTATTCATATAAAAGATTTTATTAGATATCAAAAACATCTTATATTGGCACGATACCTTATGCTCAGATTCTGAACACAATAACACAGTTAAAATTTATTAATATTATACTTTTTTAAAGAGAAATAAGGGAAGAATCTGAGTTGAAGCAGTCGCTAATTTTATATTTTTTTTCTTTTACTTAAAAACTTCTTCTTTCTTTTGTGATCACTATAGTTTAAAGCCTAATCATTATTATAATAACTACATTATAAAAAATCTTACTATGTTCTCTTTAGAAAAACTTATTAAACTTATTTTTGAAATTTGAATGGAGATTTTTCAGCTTGGCACAGACTTGAGGGTTAAATTTACATAGATTCAGAAGTTGTTTCTGAAGTATCAAGTCAATGTCAGTATCAAATTAGTACTTCAAGGAGTCAAATTTCATTACATTCTATATTAAAGCTTATCCTAAGAAGCTTAAAGCTAATAGTAACGCAGATTTGACTACTAGAATAATAATTTAGATCTTAACATCCAGAAAGAGACGAAATGTTGATCAATTTCATACATTTTGTGTCGTTCAAGATGTTAAAGCTGAAAAACCTGCACAAATTTCCTTCATTGCTCTTGGTTCTTAACTAAACTTTATCCGTTTTTAAAAACTGTTTAGAGATAATTGGCACATAATTACTAATTTAGAATTTAGTTTTCCATAATTTTTACTCTAGTTCCAAAATATATATATATTTAAACTTTTATAATCAATAGGCATATATTTATAAAGTATGTATAAAAATGTATTATAGCATTAAAGACAAAAAGAAAAAAAAATATTTATCACATATTTTATACATCTTGATTTTACATAACATGCTTTCCATCCAACGTACAAAATTCTCTTAAATTCAATCGTAGTTCTTTCTTAAGTCTGTAGGCATATCCTCGTCACTGTGCTCACGATGCTCTTTATGTAATGATAAATGGTGAATTGGTGGTGATAATGATGTTGGTGAGGATGAGGGAGATGTGTGAGAATTTAATAAGCCTTGCGACAAACTTTCTTGGTGCTGTCTTAGTAACTGAATTGTTGTAAGACCATTTGCTCCATGAATTAATCTGCTTAAGAAGGAGATCTATTAGTGTCTTAATAGACATTAAATAGTAATTTATTTATAACTTACGGATAGCAATCCTTCCCCATAAACTTCCTCTCATTTGAACTTGACGACGTACTTAGATCATGAGGTTCCTCTTCAACATTATTTTGACTATTAAATTCCATCTTACTTTGTACTAATGCTGCAGTTAAATGATGAAAATTTGTTGTACTTTGTGGTAATAAACTTGCCAATGCAGATGCTTGCAGGGCAGCTTGTGTCACTTGTGATGAAGATGCTGTTGTAGATGTATTAGATGATGATGAAGTTTGTTGTTGTTGCTGATTTGCCATCGATTGTCTCAACAATGATATGTTCTTTATACTCTTCAACTCTGTTGGGTTTCTGAGAAATCTGTAGAAAGGAATTGACAGTTAGTAAAGACATGCCTGGGATGCACAAAGCTTGTAAAACTTACTGGTAACAATGACGCTCTCCTTGCACTTTTCTTAAAATGTTCACTCTATAGTAATATCTTAAGGCACGTGACATTTTGTCGTAGTTCATTGATAAGTGGTTCTTTTGGATACCCCAAAGCTAAAAATAATAACAATATGGACAAGTTAGTATACAATCGGAAATTAAAAATGTTATCAATGACAAGTATTGATGTTGTCATACTAAAGTACATTGGACTGTACTGAATTAAGTGCAAACTTGCAAAAAAAAATAAAATTGTATGAGAACATTCAAGTCAAGTTTGGCAATAATTCATACCTTGGCTAATCCAGCTGGATCGACAATTTTAAAGACACCAGTATCTCGGCACTTCCATGCGATATAATTGCTATAGCGTTGTTGGTGATCATTAAGTAACTGTTGTAAGAAATCCCAAAGCAGTCGTCCATCTTAAAATTATAAAACAAGCACGTTAGTCATTTAATTATTAAATTACAAATAACAAAGTTGCTAAATGTCATCATAAATATCTCAATCAATTAGCTTTTAGAATAAATTACTTCCTATAAAAAAAATCTTATACTTACTTGTATTAGGCTCAGTGGGTGTATCAGGAAAGAATTCCCTTTTCATATATCCGGGTGTATTGGGTGTTGATGGACTTGTGCTACTTGATCCACTTCCATTGTTACCATTTAAAGCATCCATTTGTCCATTAAAGAATATACTGTGTGGCTTAAAATCAATACCGAATTGATGCTGATGAAGTAAATTTGATGTTGATGTTGGAGGTTCTTTATTAATAGGTGTAACTGGTGGACTTTGCTTTTGAAGTGACAGTGATGATGATTTGTGATGCATTGGTGGAGGAAGTAATTTTGGAATTTTATGTTTGAAGCTTTCCTCTTCTGAATCACTATGGTGACTGCTACTTCCGGAACTTGTACCATTTTGTCCCGAGTGTCTTGCTGAGTCGCTACCACTTGCACTATTTGATCTCATGTCAGTAGAGTCGCTTGCACCACTTGATTGACCATTCTCGTTTGATAAATTTGTTGAGTATACAGTCGATGATGCTTCCTGATTTGGTGGACTTCCACCTTGCGAATCAATTGATGGTGCTGGACTTAACGTCACTGAATTTGATTGCATAAAATGTTGCAAATGATTTGCATAAAAGGGATTATCAAGTGGTGGTGCAAGTGAGCTCCAGTTTGGTGTCGGTGGGTGGCTGTGAGGCGATAGTGGATATCGATTTGTAGGTGTGATTGGGCTACTTGGTAAATGTCTGTGTAGCATTTGTGTATCACGAATCAAGAGTTGTAAGACATTATGAATAATGTCACCAGCGCCTGGACAACGTTCAGCAAGATCATTTTTCGTGAGTAAGCAAAGTGCCTTTCCGTTCATTTGAAATAAATCAAGTTCAAATTTTGGCAAATCAAATTCACGTTCAGTCCATCGAAGGAATACAACGACCTCTTCACGTCCCCAGATTCTTGGATCTGATGATAATTGTGGTGGTAATTGTGTCTTTAAATCCGCTAGTGGACTTGTCGGTGTTGTCGGATATCTCCATAATAAATCAGAATTCCACATTCCTAATGGTGGGCCACCTAAAGGTGACAAAGGTATCGGCAATAATTTCATCTTGTTGCTTGCTTGTCGTGTTCGTTCAGCTTCTTCTATATTTACGAAAGAAGACAACAGGAAAAAGAATCGAATTAGTTAATGAAATTACGGTAAGTAGATAATTTATTCTTCGAACAGGTATTTGTACTACATTAAATGTACGCTTAGTATATGTGTGTATATAAATAATCATCATTGCAAGCGATTAAAGAAATCAACTTCGATCAACTCTAGAGTACTTTACCACATCCGCTCACGTACGAATAGAACGGAAATTGATTTTTATGTAAGTCAGTTTTTTCTCACAAGTCTCTTTTTTTAAATTATTCAACTACATGCTACAACTCCGTGTTATTAGCTTCAGTTTATGTATGTTCCCTCGACTCAGTAGGGAAAAAAAATCTTGATTCACATTATTAATTTCTTACATTAAAGATGCTTTGTCGTCATCGTCGTTGTCGTGCATAATTTTTTATTTTTTTATAAAAGTTAAGAAACGTGGAAAATTTTTCATTTTGAGCTCATTTACGCTTTGTGCCGTAGAAAATGGACTTAATGTGATTTTTTTTCTGTACATGAACCATTTGTTTTCAAACCAGGAACCGTATAAATGCTTGTTCTTAATGAAGTCTTTTTTTGTGTATGGACAATATTAATTTAATTCCTCGATCTTAATTTATTTTTACACGGACTGGGTTTTTTAAGAACTTGAGTTTTTCCTAGTAAAGTCTTGTGCGAGAATAAACGTCCAGATAATTTAAAGGCAAGATAAGATAGATTAAATACTGCGGAATTCCCAGAAGCTATAGCAATCAATAGATTTACAACCTTTTCCTTAGAAACAATTCACAAAATAAAAAAAAAAATAAGATAATGTCTATAGATCAACGTAATTCCTTCCAGTTGCGATTCTCTTACAAAATATACATTACCGCATAGACGCAAAAAAAGTAAGTTAGCAATAAATCTTTTTAAAATAGCTTTGTACGAAAGAAATGTGCGCCAACGTAAGTTTATTACGATGAAGCTTAATACCTTTTTATTTCCGGTTTATGTATTTTAAGTATCCGTAAAAAATCACATAAAAATATACGTAAGAATTCAAATTAGATTCAAAAATAATAATAATTTACAGTAACGTCATTGTAGCCAGAAAAAAGGTAAAGTCTTACGTAATTATTTTTTTCACATGAATAATTTTTTCATGTCTTCTTCAAACTACAACCTTTATTGTTATTGTTATTCTTGATAGGTTAATGTTGATCATTAAGTCTCATCTCAAAAAGGAATGTAAAGTAAAAACCGGTTCAAACGGAAACAGAAAAAATAACATCATGCATCATCAGAAGAATCATTATTAATTTCTTATATCTCTGATACAGATCTTTTAAAGGTAAAGGATTCATAAAATGAGAATTTAGTCTCGGTTATGCTCTTCACAACTAATCGAATTCAACACGTCTATATCTCAAGTGTTTTTATTGGATGCGATAAAGTATTAATAATACCTTATAATTCGTGAAACGGAAGTATTGAATTAATTCTGGAATTTCCGCATTTTGCTCTCTTCTAAATGACAAAAAACAAACTTATTCTACCACAACCGATCTGTCTAATATATTTATATAAGATCCGCATGTGTATTCTTTTCAAGAAGGCAAGAAAGAAAAAAAATAATAATAAAATGTAATAAAGAGCAGAGCGTATACATAAGTTTCTTAAAAAAAAGTAAATGGAAGTATGTGTTTGTTATATGTATGTATATTAATAAAATCAAACACACTTTTCCACATTCATTTATTCACTCTATGCCAAAAGTACGAATAAGAAAATGTTCTTTTTCGCTTTACAAAAAAAAACTTATAGCGAGGTCAATTGCGAAATAACTTATTTCCGCTTTTTGTATTTCTTTTTTGCTTCGTTTCGCGCCACACATACATCGTGTCTCGTCGAGTTATTTTTATAATGCAAAAAAAAAGAGGAGAGAATATTTCTTGGAGTCAGGATGAGTGTTACGGTTTATCAGATTATTTTATTATTTTCGTATGTTGCACAAAACTATTTTTTTTTTAATTTTTTATGTTTTAACATCACTCGACAATATGTCACATGGAGTCTCTCTCTCTCCCTCTCTTATTCTGTCATTCTCAGTTTGAAGTAAAATCGTCCATAAACACGAAAGTAACGACGAAAAGAATAGTGTTTCATTAGCTTTTAGTGAAGAATTTATGAATAATAATAATGCCTCTTACTGAGAGCAAAATCACTTCTTTTTGTACGTTCTTTCCGCGTTTAGAATAAGCAAGCGCTAACAATTTTAATGTTGCATAAATTTTACAAGCCTAATTATCAATTTTAAGCACATTCTTTCGTATTTCTTTTGAAAAATATAAATTTCGCGAAATTATGCTATAAAGCTATTTTGCACAAATTTCATGTGACATCATCAAGTTTAATGCAAGAATTTTTGAGGATAGTGTTACGTCGTATAAATATAATATTCAGCTTAAAGTCGTTTTCGAAGAAATTAAAAACATATAAAAATGCTTCGATAGAAATATTTGATGTGTATAAAGTAGGTATATATCATTTATATCTAATGAGATGTATTTCTTTGAGGTTAATGACACAGCAAGGCTAAAGAAAGTATTTAAATCAGAATAGAAGTTATCACGCTGATCAACAAACGATCTCTTTTATATCGTTATGGAACTGGTTTTGCTGCCGTTAAATGATGATGAAAATAAGTAATTTATTGATATAGTTATTGCTGTTAAACTGTATTATCTATCTAGTTACATCGAACATTTTTTAAAGCATTTTATGATCTACGAATTTTTTTTCATTATTTTGCACACTCACAATGAATTCACATTGATAATGGAGAAGCGAATATTTCGGAAAGCTCACAATTAAGGCAGGCTGTTTATAGTATCTTATTTTAATATTAAATTGAATGTTTGAATTGATTGCATTTGCGTCATTACACAAATGAAGGAAGAGAGAAAAAAAATTAAACATTTTTACTGAACGCGTGAGTGAGGTGTGAGAAATTAAGAAAACCGTTAAATACCAAATATTCGCTTCTCTCAATCTCTCGTCTTTGCCTTTTTGTATTACCTGACTGCTCTTTATGTATATCATGATTGTGATCATTATTAAGCTTCTTCATGTTTATAGCAAATTATGAAGTGATTCCAGCGAAAGAATGTTAGCACTTTGCGTGGCGCTTAATTCTAATCGTACGCTTTTAACACTCATATAAGTCGAGGGATTAAATGTTATGTTGATTTTTACGATGCGACACGATATAATGTGAAAGAATGTCAACGATTGAGTCTATTGTATTAAACAAGTATAACCTTTTGTATAATCCATCATATGCTTTACTATAGTCATCATTAGCGAGACATTATTAACAATTTATCCACTTATAGCTTTTTTACGCTATTTTTTTCACCTCATTCTGGATTTATTTAAATTTATTCGTGAACAAATTTTTAAGCAAAAAAATTTTGAATTTTAAAAAGTCGTTATAAATTTAAAAAGCTTCCACAAGTTCACTGAGCATCAACTCTGTTTATTGCTTAATAATTTATATGTGTCAGAAAAATGTCAATAAAATTCGCGTTCGGTGTTGAAACAAATACAGAAATAGAAATATTTCGGATATAAAAGGGAAAAATGATTTAGGAATTCTATTCAATAGAGAAAAAATGAGAAGTAAAGGCAGAACGACATTTCGTATGACGTCAAAGAGATAACAGCAAAAAACCTACATCAAAAAATTATTAGATAAAGCGATTTGCAAAGTCAACCAACGAATGACTAGTCTCCCTCTCACTAATTGAATGATATCATTCATTTATTTATATTTTTTTCTCGATTGTTAATTTATTTATTTACACAAATATAAATATGTAACAAGTGATGCCTCAAATTTGGTAAGTGCCAATACATTTTGAGAATTCTTCATCCTCTCTTGACACATTCGATTTACTTTAATATTTAACACCATCATCATCATCCATCTACCAAAAATTAATAATAATGAAATCTCGATAGAAATCATTCAATTTGATGATCCCAACATAAAATGGCTATTGGAATGGCTCGAAAAGAAGAAGAAATAAAGAATCATTTCTATTCTTTCTCTCTTCATTATTATCATTTCTTCCTTCTTTCATTTCTTTCTTCATACACGTAAATTCTATCTATCTATATATCTATATGTATGCTTTATAGTTTAGATATACCTGTTTTGTAAGATGTAGATTTTAATAATTGTTCTTAGAATTTGGGAACGAGAAGAAGACGCTTTGACGACCTATTACTTTAATCTAAGAAAAAGAAGTAAAAGAAATGAAAAAAGAAATACAAAATGTCTTCCAAAATCTTTTTTGTTATATACCAAAAAGAAACTTGTTGTAATTTCTTTTCAATTCTTGATGTGCTGTAAATGTGAAACGGAAGTCTTCTATGTCTTCTCAACACACATAACAAGTTCATACTGGGAGAGTAAAAAAGATTGAATTCAAACTGACTGATTTTTATGATATGCTTTTCTCATTAGAATTTCTTCTTACTTTTCGTTTCTTTTTTCTTTTCTGTTTAATGTTGTACATTTGGTTTTCAATACACAATAGAGAAAAAAAAAGTGCTGAGCAATTTAAAAATAAATTACAATTCTTTGATTTACATTTAAATTTAGATTGGACAGAAACAAAAAAATATGAAAGGCTTAGCAGAAGTGAAAGATTGTAAACGAATGTTACGTACGTGTTTGGATGATAGAGACGCACTTTTACTTGAGTTTAAAATTAATCTCTTATTTTTTAAAATTTCAACGAATTTTTAAATTTCAAATAAACTTAAACTTAACGACATTGAAGTTGGTTAACTGAGTGAACTTTGTTTACCAACAAAATCATCACAATTCTGCAATATTTGCTTTAATTTAATTATTAGACATCTCTTATTAAATAAGAGTTACTACAATAGAGGAACTGAATACAAAAAAAACCACTCAAGCCTCCAAGTTATGACGACAAAAACGTAACATTCACCCATTCGACCAAAATGAACTTAATAACATCACATTTGTTTTGCAAAATTATAGTATTGAAAAAAGTTGTTTAACGTTCAACGTATAATGCGTAAAGAAAAAGTAAATTGCGAGCAAGCATAATACGATTTTATAATATTGACACAGTTTCAAATGTTTATGTAATCACTTGTCTCTTACTTTGCTGTATTTGCGGCAAATATTGAATAATTTTATATTTATTTCTGTGTTCAATAAGTCATATAAATATTCATAACATCTCGAGTGTTTATTAGTTATTATCTTCATTTATATGTGATTATAATGATTTAATTTCTAATTATGACCCTTTGATAATTATGTCTTTCCCCCCAAAAAAAGAATGAAAGAATTTGTACAGCTTGTAAAATATCAGATGTGAGATTAATCTAATTTTATATTTTGTTTCCATTTCATTTCCCATAATATTTTTGTTTCAATCTCTTCTTGTAAACACATTTCCATGTTTTGTTTACAATAGTCATCCATACATAAGGTTAGTCAAGTTGAGAGTGAGAGAGATGAGTGAGCGAAAGAAATTCTATTTTTACGATCGATTTAAAAATTGATTTAATAATTTTGTAAATGAAATATGAATATGGCTATTTAGTAGTAGTAAAGTGAGATATTATTTAATATGTAATAGCTTTGCTTGTTGTAAAGTATCGTATTGATTGTTATATAACAATATTTACTGTAAAAATTATTATTTAAAATACATGGAGCGATTGTCGGTTGAATTCAGAAAAGGAAAAAAAGTAATGAATAAATCTCGAAGCTGTTGTAATTCCTATATAGACATCGTTATCTCCTTTCCATTTACTTCCATCTCATTCTCACATTCAAGAGGAAGGTGAAGATGCTTCCTTTTGCTATACTTTATATAGCACTTAATTTACATAAGCACTTATCACATACAAAGAGCATTAACAGTAGAATTTTCAGGTGCAAAAAAAGCATCGAGAAGCAGGCGACATTAAAAATCAGAGAAAAGAGAAACAAAAGAAATAAATCTGACCTCTTCCCCTATAATTCTAAATTCTCAACATTCTCTACATCTATAAAAATTAACACCTGTATTGTTGTCCTAAGTACTTTTTGAAGAATAATTTAACCAAAAGATTTTCAAGTGAATTTATTGTTATTACAAGAGCTCAAGATTATGTTATTTTTAACCATTTTTACTGTGAAAAAGGGAGAATATTTGAACAGTTTTAACGATTAGTTTTATGGATTATTAGAGAGATTGTAAAATATTGTTTTTTGAGTAGGCAATAATATTTTTTTGAGGCATATAAAAGTAATATTCTCTTCAAGTATCGAAAGTGCACACTTCAGATTTATGTAAATTTCTCCATTCAACAAGTGATCGGAACGCATTTTTGGTTGGGGTTGATGAATTCAAAGCATTCGATGAGTCATTTGGTTTTTAATTTAAAGAGGCATTTGATTGTATAGGTTTAAAGTCCAATTCTTTATTGATGACTAATGTTTTCAGCTACGAATGGCCATGAACTATTAATCATAAGATGATATTAGAGAGTACGTTCAGAAAAGTTTAAATAGACCTAGAAAATTAACGGTCGATTTCCTGTTGCTCGCAGGTAAGAACAAGTAAGAACCAGCTCAAAAAATGTCATAAAATCTTTAGTACCTGAATTTATTAAAATAAATTTAATTTTGTTCAACGCCCCGAAAATAAATTTAATTCATATTTATGCACTGTTGCATCAATAAATGAACCTGAATGTTGAAGTAAAAATTAGCAATAGACATGTCTTATCAGATTCATCATCCGATTGCAAATTAAAGCAAAAAATAAAGTTTAATATGACAGACTTCATCTTCGAGTTCTAACAAGGAAGTAATCGACAAACGATTTGTTGCCGAGAGAATTGTGTGTTTATAAATTTACATTATTTAAGTCGGCTAGTTCCTTTAATAAAGAAACGAAGACAAAGTGAATAAATTTCACTTCCTATAACGAAAAAAGTGTGCTTTAAATTAAATTACAGCAAGTCTACCTGCATGTAAATATTTTATATTACTAATTCTCTTCCTTTTTCATCTAATATTATTAAATATATATCGTATATGAATAATAAAAAGAAGAAGAAGAAGAAGGAACGAAAAAAATGTTCTTACGATACAAATTCATTTATAATTGTAGTAGTAGGAACATGTAGTAGTTTAATCTAAATCGTTAATTGATGAAATATATTAAGGAAGAAAAAAATCTGTTTATTAGATTCATCATGCGTTCACAAAGTTTTTAATAACATTTCCTCGTAAGATTTTTTTGTTTGCTCGGTAAAACTTAGCAATTATAGTATGTATGTATTCAACGGGAATTGGCTTGTAGATTGCTTTGCTCGACGTCGTCTTGTAGCTAACGCGGAAGTGGGAGTTTAAGTTTTTTATTAGAATTTATAATGAATTTAAATGATTTTTATTTGCTTGGAAATTCAAATTCTTTACGGAATAAATAAATTTATTCTTTTATATTCTCTCACTCTCGAGTAGTGTTCTTGCCTTATGTACATATGTACTCATAAGATTCTCATGTGTGCATTTATCGTGAAAGTTTTTGAAATATTATTTATCAATTTTTTTCACACGATTAGGTAGTCAATACGTAATAGAGATGATATTTATCGAGATAACGAGTAATAAATTCATTAATATGAAATCTTTTATAACTTACCTTTTCGTAGGCAATTAGTGCTGTTGTTCTTAGAATTTATAGCGTGTTAATCTTATTTTCTAATTGTTCTTATTTCTCTCAGAATTATAAAATTGCTTCACTTAATTGATAACTTATTATTTTCTTTTGTTTTGTTCTCAGTGTTGTTGTTCTTATCGATCACAGGAAAGAATCACTTACTAGCAGTGCTTCTTATTTTTTTTTTTATATTATGTATAATTTTTTTTTATGAATTATTCTCTTTTTTATATCATGAATTCACAAATTGTCACTTGATTGTATAATTAATTTAATTTAATTTTTTGTGTATTTATTTTCTTCTTATTTTCCTTAAAAATAATTTTTTTGTATATCCACTTGTTGTTTCCTTTAAATTTATTTTTTT